GGTTTGTGTTTAATTCAGCCACAGTTGTGTTATGAGAGCTCGTGTATAAATTATATCACAGTTGTCTTACGAGCAGTTTGTAATTTTGTATAACACAGTGGTCTTACGAGCAGTTTGTGTGTGAATATAACACAGTGGTCTTACGAGCAGTTTGTATTTATGTATTACACAGTGGTTTTATGAGCAGTTTGTGTGTGAGTATAACACAGTGGTCTTCCGAGCAGTTTGTATTTAAGTATAACACAGTGGTCTTACAAGCAGATTGTATTTAAATATAATACAGTGGTCTAACGAGCAGTTTGTATTTATGTAAAACACAGTGGTCTTACATGCAGTTTGCATTTAAGTATAACACAGTGATCTTACAAGTAGTTTGTATTAAAGTATAATATAGTGGTCTTATGAGTAGTTTGTATTTAAGAATAACACAGTGGTCTTAAGCGCGGTTTGTGTGTAATTATTACACAGTGGTCTAACGAGCAGTTTGCATTTATGTAAAACACAGTGGTCTTACATGCAGTTTGTATTCAAGTATAACACAGTGCTCTTACAAGCAGTTTTCTATTTATGTATAATAGAGTGGTCTTACGAATATTTTGTATTTAAGGATAACACAGTGGTTTTACGAGCAGTTTGGTATTGAAGTATAAAACAGTGGTCTTACGAGTAGTTTGTATTTAAGTATAACACAGTGGTCTTACGAGCACTTTTGCATTTATTTATAACACAGTGATCTTACATGCAGTTTGTATTGAAATATAACACAGTGGTCTTAACAGCAGACTGTATATAATATAGTGGTCTTACGAGCAGTTTGTATTTATGTATAAGTCAGTGGTCTTTCAAGTGTTTTGTATTTAAGTATAGCACAGTTGAATTTCTTGCAGTTTGTATTTAAGTATAACGCAGATATCTTACAAGTAGTTTGTTTTAAAGTATAACACAGTGGTCTTATGAGTAGTTTGTATTTAAGTATAATACAGTGGTCTTACATGCAGTTTGTTTTAAGTATTAAACAGTGATCTTGTATGTATTTTGTATTTTAGTATAACACAGTGGCATTTTTTGCAGTTTGTATTTAACTATAACACAGTGATCTTACAAGTAGTTTGTATTTAAGTATAACACAGTGGTCTTACGACCACTTTTTCATTCATGTATAACACACTGGTCTTACATGCAGTTTGTATTTAAGTATAGCACAGTGGTCTTACAAGCAGATTGTATTTAAGTATAACACTTTGGTGTTTTGAGCAGATTGTGTGTAAGTTTAACACAGTGGTCTTACGAACAGTTTGTGTGTTAGTATAACACATTGACAAGCAGTTTTGTGTTTAAGTATAAAACAGTGGTCTTATGAGAGAGTTATGCTTTTCAACTATCATAATAATAACCGTTCTGTTCATTCTATAAACACAAGAAAGCACGTATTTAAGTCAATACTGCATTTTCAATTTTAGAAAAAAGGCGCTAATTTTTTTTTTTAAACTACGCTAATTTTGAATCAACCGTTGAGTTTTCAGTTAATACTTACACGTATTTTGCATTGAAAAGACAAATGCAAATAAAATGTTTACTTTCTTAATGATTTGAACCTAATTCCGCTGTAGTGTTTGGTTAGAACTACCAAATCATGGTAATTTCTTTAATGACTCTTGCACAGCTGTAAAACCGATATCAAACCACAGGCGGCAGTATGGATACCCACCCCACTCTGCCCCTGCACCCTGCTACAACCCTGAAAAAATTAATTCAATACTAACGTTTACCATAAAATACCAAATACAAAACCACCGGTGTAATTAAAAAATCACTATCAAAATTATAGTTATAGCTTTCTCTATAACTATAATTTTTATACTAGATTTTTTTTTAATTATATAATTCTATAAAAAAAAATTTGTAATTGGTATCATATAGTAAAACTTACAATGTTGAATTATTAAACACTAATATTACCACCTGTTTATCAGGTTATACTTTGCTTGCGCCTCGTCCAATATAGGTTTGACAGCTGTGTACTTGTCCAATAGAATTCAGTAGGGTACTCAATAATGTATAATGACCTCATATTATCACACACTTTAAAGGGACTCCGCTGAGGTTTAAAAGTCTAAAATCATAACATTTGAATTTCTTACATAAATGAGGTGGGGCACTTTAAACAGAAATATATGCAAAGATAGTTAGAAATATACTTTGAAATAAATTGAAAATCGTATTCTTATGCATTTCTTAGCCCGAATCGAGTGAAAAGCGTTTAAACGCTTTTCATTTTGGGTCATTATTTTACAATTTGAATAATTATTTTGGAAAAACGAAGTGCGCGTATGATCTGAAATTTCGCACAAAGATTAGTGGTCTATCCCTACATCACATGGTTCATTTATCTGGAAAAAAATATTTTCAGTCCCATCATGTCAAAATAACTCAGTGGAGTTCCTTTAATATATATATATATATATATATATAAACCGAAAAATAAATTCATAAAAAATACAATTAATTTGAATTTTAAAATTTAAACATTTTGCTACCTGAAAAAAGGGATAAAGCAGTTAACTGCCTATTTACAGAATGCTTACAAATTTCTCTTGGAATCATGTAATGTAACAAATACAGTCGAAACTTTGAATCACATGTCAATTCCATAATAACTGCATAATAATAATTATCATGATAATGGCACGTGTGTAGTGATAAATGTGTACACTGACAAATGACAAGTGCCAATTTGGTAGGTAGTTGATAGTTGGATTCAAATAACCAACTACCTACTAGTTAGCTGGTAGTTGGTTATTCGTAATTCCAAACTTTTTAACAGCTGGTACATGGTAATTCAATCACCAGAATAAAATGTTGGAACATATCATACATTAAAGGAAGGGACTTGTTTGTAATTCGCGCGAATCCCCAGTTTGTAACTCGAACTTTGCATGTTTCCCCTAAAAAAGTACTTTTCCAACCAACTACGTCCCCTGGTCGACGTAGGGAGACGGGGTGATACCATTTCATTTTGGTAGAAGTCATCCATCTTATAAACATGCTGAGTTTTAATTACTAGTACCAATAAAGTAACTATCATAATTAGATTATTTATCTTTGATTTAAAATCCCATCGAAATACAGAAGAAAAATATGTTTTGTCATGTCTTGCACGTGAGTGGTGCCGTCTGAGCGTATGGTTCTGTGTGTTTTGTGATGATATGTGAGGCATGTGTACTAAGTGTACCATGTTTGTCAGGTCAATGCTTGCGTCATGTTCGCCGTGTACATAGTGTCCTGTTTGTAGGGTCTGTGTTTGAGTGCATAGTGTCCTACATGTCTGTGCCAGTGTTAAGTGTCCTACATAACTGTGTAAGTGTGCACGTAGTGTCCGACATGTGTGTGTCAGTGAGTGCGTAGTGACCTACATGTCTGTGTCAGTGTGTGTTTAGTAACACATGTCTGTGTGTGATTGGTGTTACATTAGTTCCCTATGAATCATGTTAGCTGTGCGCGTAGTGTGCTATGTCAGTGTGTGAGTGTTTTCCTGTGCATCAGTTGTGTCATGTGTGTCTTGTCAGTGTTTGGGTCGTATCCTGTGTGCTAGTGTGTGAGTAGTGCCATGTGTGCAAGTTCAGTGTTTATTAATTAATCTTTATTTTTATCATTTTTTCATACGAAAGATCGTAATTTTTGAGTAGTGTTTATTATTATTATTATCACATTAGTAAACATGAAATTGAGTTAATATGCTAATAATTGTTCACACCTAAATAATTAATAAAGCTGACAGGTCTAAAGTGTTTTACAATGGCTGACTTTCGTGTCCTTGCTCGAGGGGTTATGATAAAAGACTTTACACAAACGAGTAGTAAAAGAACGGTTGACAAGCGAATTTATTTTTTAGATAAATGGTGATTTGAGACAAGTCTATTTAACATCTTTTCACTAGTTAAAAATAACTCTTTTGGCGGAAATTAGGTGAAAACTTTTTTTGTTAAAGGCAGCATACCTACAGACTCATGCTGATTTTCATGAAAATGTTATAAATGTAATATAAATTAAAGGTGAAATATTTTCAAGTTAACAAACAAAGTACTTTACGTATTGCAAACTACACTTTCAATCCACGTAAATTACCGAATAAATATCAAAATATGCAAAAAGGCCTTACTGCCTTAATCCATCGTCAAGTAAAATAGTTTTAGTTTATTAAAATCTTAGTAAATTTTATCTTATTTTTTCACAATAAAAGTTTATTGACATTAAATTTATAACAAGATAGATAAATTCTACCAAATGGTATCACCCCGCACTCTACGTCGACTAGAGGACTCAGTTGGTTATTCGCGTGAAACCCCAACTACCTACCAGACGGTAATTGATAATTTGGATATTGCATGTTAACGTTCATTACATAACAAGATATGTGTTTTCTATAATATGGAAACACCCCCTTCACCATAAATCGACCAAGGAATTCAATTGGCTATTTCGCGTGATTTCCCCACCTACCTAGCTAAATGTATAGTTGGTAATTCGAACTTTGCATGTCTACCCCTTAAAAGTACTTTTCCGAAATAATGTAACGAAAATATGAGAAGCAGGATTGATTCTCCAACATAGCAACGTACTGTCCCGTTATGTTCACCAAGGGTAACTGGCGCGAATCCCCAACTATCAACCAGAAGATAGTTTGCATGTTTTCCACTCGAAACAGAAAGAACTTTGAGGAATGAATATAACGGATACATAACAAGAAAATTTTTCAACATGTAAACACCTGTCTCCTCCCCCCCCCCCCGCCCCAGGGGACTCAGTTGGTTATATGCGTGTATCCCAAGCTAACCACCAGAAGGTAGTTGGTTATTCGAATCTCAGAACAGTTTCCACAAAAAATAAACAGATATATGATAAAAGAGATGAATTCTACCAAATGGTATCAACCCGTTTCCCTACGTCGACCAGGGAACTCAGTTGGATATAAGTGTGAATAATCCCCAACTATCTACAAGATGGTAGTTGGTAATTCGAACTTCTGGTAGGTACAGGGTGTTTTATAATATCTGTCCATGTAGTTAGGAATTCGTGTGAATAAACAACTAGGTCTCCTCCTTTATTTTGTGTTTTAAAACGTAAGATGTTTCTAATATTTCATGCTGCTGATAATGGATAGAACTACCAACTACCACCTGTTAAATAGTTGGGAACTATCAGCTAGTAGATAGTTGGTTATTCGAATATCCAACTACAAACTACCTACCAAATTGACGCCCACGGATAGATAATTATAAATTGTGTCATTCTTAGTCATTAGTGGTCGTTATTTACCTCCGACTGTTCAGTCAATATAGCTCGTGAAAAATTTATACATGTAGTATGTTTGATTAAAATCAATTCCATCCTTGATTTAATATTTAATTAGGTCTTTTCTGAGAAACGAATAGACATGATCCAGCAACATTAATAAATAGAAAATTTACTTTAATATGAACGTAGGACATCCTAGAGTCTATTTATTCATCGCTGTCCAATGGAGAGTAACAGGTTTTACTTATTGTACAATGATTTTAAACGGAGAATACATTTTATCTGTGTCTTTTGTTTGTTAAGTGATACATATGAAATGGAAACATATTATATTTTAATGAATGGAAGAAAATGTGTGTGGATTTTTTGCGCTATTTGCGCGTGCATAATATTAGGACAATATCGTTCATGGGTATATTTTACAGAATTGGATCCAGATATAAATATAGCTCTGTCACGTGTTCGACAATCACTTATAGATAACAAAGCGTCTAGACAAGGTGATTCTCAGCCAAAAAGAAGGCAATTAACATGGTTTACAAAAAGTAATTATTTTAATAGCACGTTATCCTCCGTAGAAAATGCAAGGGCTGAACTTTGCCTCCTTACCGCCAGAGCGGATAGACACTATGATTTGATGTCGTTTTTAAAGAATTTAAATGTGTGCGTGCATCACCATTCGTATCTTAGACAAAATAGGTCCGTAATTATTGAAATTGGAGGTAAGAACATTTTCATTAACAATTTTCAACAATTTGAATAAAACGAAGATCTAAATGTTGATCATTTAATGAGCTTTTAAACATAGTTAACACCTGAAAGTCTTACTCTCTCACGCCCCGTTTGACAACTGTCTGCGCATGCCCAGTACGTAAAGTTTTACATTCCTCACGGGTCTGACAAAATTCACGCTACACCGGATGGAAAATTTAAAAGGATGCATTACAGAGCAGACGCCAATATACATTCAAGATCGATAACAATTTATTGTATATTAAATGTGAATGAAAAAAAAAAGAAAAAACGAAAAAAAAAGAACAACACTTTTTTTTGAAGTGATATTTTTTTCATTGTCAAGTTGAGCTTAATTGACTTCATATTTTCAAAGATTGAGTGTAATGATGATAATGACCGACCAACAGTTGATATTGAAATAAAATGTTTAGGATAAAATATAAATCTGCGTAAAATATAAAAACACTGCCCAACTCTTTTTACTCTTATTACAAATTAAATATAACAAGTGAATTCTGATGGATATTTACAGAAGTTTTCTTACCAAACCTACATTTAAATATAAAGACAGTCATTGAAATCCCTCAAAATTATCAGGTGGAAACTATTTATGTCATTAAAAATGATTTAAAAGGGACATTACTCTTACAATACAACCCAATAAATATCAAAAGTAGTTTCTTTTTATCTGAATTTAAGCAAAGAGTTATTGATTGTTTTAGGCAAAAATGGCATTCAGACATAGAAAACGATATTGTACTAAACACTTTGTATAGTTATATCAAAAAAGATTTTTGTTTTGAACCTTATTTAAGAAATATTTATTGTAAAGGTATACGTATGAATATTTGTAGAATTAGAATATCTGCTCATAACTTAAGGATTGAAAAAGGTAGATACGGACGTAATAGAACACAAAGAAATGAAAGATTATGCCAATTATGTAACTTACCAGAAATTGAAGATGAGTATCATTTTATTTTAGTTTGTCCATGTTATCAAGATATTCGAAGAAGATTTATCAAGCGTTATTACTATACTAGACCTTCTATGTATAAATTAGTAGATTTACTACAATCAGATAATAAAGCTATACTTGTAAATTTAGGAAAATATATAGATGTAGCTAATAAAAAGCGACAAGAATTGTTACTATCCGTTGTTAATTCATAACACATTTTGAAATGTTAATTGGTTCAACTTATTATCCTTATTATCGTTAAAAAGATAATGTAATATTATACTTTTGACGCTGTTATTGTCAGGTCTTTTCTGTTTTTGGTGTTTTTCTTCTTACTTGAACTTTTTATTTCTATGAATGATAATGAAATTGTGATGTTCTTTGTTCCTTTATTTGCAGCTGTCTGTTCTCCGTTAGAATGTCATCAGTTTAAACTTTTATATTCTTCTTCTTATTTTTTTCTTTGCTTTTGTCATGTGACCACAGGATTATTATATTTGTTATTATTGTATGTAACGAGATACTGTAAATGTATAAGTTACCGAAATAAACTATTTCTTCTCTCTCTCTCTCTCTCTCATATTGGATATATAATTCTTACATGCTAAATATAAATACAATCAGAGACATAGATAACATTGTTATTAATATATATGTCTCTGATGCAATCATGGAAATCCTTCAAACTTTTCCTGGTACAGTGTATTTTGTTCTTGTATTGCCTTACAAAACTTCGATTATTTTTGTATCAATTTCTATTTCTATTGATTGACTTTATGTTATACTGTACTATAGACTGCTTTATGATACTTATTATTTAACGATGGCTAGCGCAATTAATATTAATGAAAAATATTTCCGCCTTGTTAAATCGGTATATCTAATTTCATGCTTAAAATGACAAACTGAATGTGTACTTTCATTTACTATGTACATGTTATTAAATCTACTCAGCCAGGACAAAACTAGTTAACAAGAAAAACCTGAAAAGGTCAATGGCCGTGGCAAACGGTACAATAATAAGAAACATTAATGAAGAATACTGGAATAAGATACGTTGTTGCCGAATACTGGAATAAGTTACGTTGATGCCGAATAAGGTTGTCAAAAATAGATATCAAAGAAAAAACAAATAACTGGAGGCCAAAACATGTTGCATGCGTTTTAGGCGGAGACTATTCATTAATTTTTTTTCGCAAGCTTCCGTCTACGCCCGCAAGCACCGACGGAAGAACTTTACATTTAAAACAAGACCAAGAGAATTGTGTGTATTAATTATCTTGCGACTTTTTGAATATAAAACTCACAGTCTCATTTTTGTATGTCACAGGAAACCTCGGTCACGACGCGGAGTCATTTGCTAGGAATTACAATGCCAGACAGATTATCCTAGAACCCGTTCAACAATATGCAAACATTTTAAAGAATAAGTTTGCTAACAATTCTAGGTAAAATTCGCTTTAAATAGTATTCATTTGTCACGTTACTTTTGTGATTTAAAACAAATACTAGTTTGGTATTGTAGATGTGTGATCTATCTCAACGATAAGGGAAGATATTTCTTTGGTAATGAGCATGTACATGATATGATTTATTCAATATTATTAATTGATAATATAATACAATATAATTATATGAGGTTATTATACTTAATTCAATATATAACTGAATTTTGTTGAACGAAAACATTCCATGTCAAACAACATAACTCGTATAAGAATAAAATATGAAATATTATTACAAAATGTATATGTATATATTACAGAACACAATTGATGAGTTAATTACATTGAAGCTATTCTTTTTTGTGTATTTTTCAGAATCACTGTATTGAACATTGGACTCGGAGAAAAGACTGCTACGGTAAATATTGACGTCAAGGGAGAAGCAACAAATGTTTTAGAAAAAGGTGGAAACACTACCGTGAAGCTAATACGCTCAATTGATTTCTTTACAAACATTGGCGTCGGGTCTTTTGACATTGACCTTCTTACGATGGATTGTGAAGGTTGTGAACTGCAAGTCTTAGAAAGTCTTCTAGAAAACAATATGATAAACTATTTCAAAAATATTCAATTTGAATCCCATAGTCACGTGATGGGGTTCAAACGTAACGATTGGCAAAGACGCTACTGTGTAATACAGGAGTACATGTCACGCTCACACAGGTTGACATTTCAATACAAGCACGTGTGGGAAAACTGGAGACGATTAGATTTAAAATGAAAGACAATATGGCAATATTTCAAAGAACGTTTGATAAATTGTCCTAGTTTGTTAGTTTGAGTAAAATTTGAGAAGGAAAATAGTTGAGAATCAATTTGTCCTAATTTGTGAAAAGTTTGAGAATGAAAATTAGTGCGGATATAGAATCCAGAGGCTATTGTCTGTTAAATTGCCCTCTTATTTACATGGCAGGATTATTATCACAAGCTAAATTGCCGTATTTGACATGGAAGAAATACCTTTATCTGGTAAATTGCCCTCTATTACATGACAGGAATACAATTATCTTGTATACTGTGCTTTAATACATGTCAGAGATAGTCCGTAAATTGGTTGGAATTCTTTTATCTGTTAAATGGCACTCTTAAACATAACAGGAATACTATAATCTGGTCTATTTTTACTATAACTAAATTTCGCTTCAATACATTGCAGGGATATAGTCAATGGTAAGATTCCATCTTTGACATGGAAGGAACATTCTTATCTGGTAAATTGCTATCTTATACATGACAAGACACTGTTACCTGGATAGCTGCATTTTCAAACATGGCATATTCTTATCTGGTAAATTCCCCGCTTAAACATGACAAAGATACTATCATTTGGTTAATTGCCCTCTAAAATAAATACACGGCAGGAATACCATAAGCTGGTATATAGCCTCTTTTACATGTCAGGGATACTGTTACACATGACCGAAATAATCTTACCTGGAATGTGCCCTTTGATACATGGCAATGGTACTATTATCTGGTATACTGCCCTTTTGAAATGCATGTGAGGAATACTTTTACCTGATAAATTACCCTCTAATACATGGTAGGGATACCATGTTCTGGTAAATTGCCCTCTTAATTATACATGTCCGTAAATTGCCCTCTTATACATGTCCGGAATACACTTACCTGGTACAGTGCTCTTAAAAACACGACAAGGTTCATTTATCTGGTAAATTGCCCTCTAATACATGTTAGGAAATTTACATTTGATACCTGGCAGGGATACTATTATTTGGTTAAGTGCTCATTAACACATAGTGAGAATACGCCTACCTGGTAAATTGCCTTCTTATATAGACATGGGTACTATTAACTGGTACATTGCTCTTTGATATATGGAAGGAATACTTTGATCTGGTTTCACGTGGCAGGAGTATTCTTACCTGCTAAATTGCCATCTAATACATTGCAGGATTATTCACACCTGCTAAAATTGCCATCTAATACATGGCAGAAAAACGCTTACCTTCTAAATTGCTATTTAATACATGACATGAATATTCTTACCTGCTAAATTGCCATCTAATACATGTCAGTAATATTCTTACCTGCTAAATTGCCATCTAATACATGGCAGAAAAAAGCTTACCTGCTAAATTGCTATTTAAAACATGTATACTTGATAAAGTACCCTTTTATCCATGACAGGAATCCCTAAACCTTCGGGATAAATCAAACAGTACAAAGTAGATTGGAAATGAAATTGATACAAGGTCAAAAGACTCAACCCGTTGTAAAAAAAGTCTTAAGAATTCTTATATAGAATATTTAGGACAAAACACAATGGTGGGCCGACACCAAATAGATAATAAAATTGTATATCCTGTTTACAAATGGCAAATGTTGATAAAGTCTTGTTTATATGAACTTCCTCCTGATACAAGATAAGGTGACCAGGAGCCAACTGTTAAAATTATAACAAGTTTTATGCTATGCATATATCTTGTAATAATGCAATTGATTGTCCAACAGTATGAAGCATGATAGAATGCTATATATTTTAACCATACATCATATGCATTCTATAACATGCGTGTATGTTTTTAACGTCGATTTTAATTGGATAATTTTGACGTTTATATATTTTACGTTCATGGCTGCTTTAATTTTATGTTGAATAATTTTTTTCTTCAAATAATCAATTTCATTGATATAAATATGAATATAAAGATTGTTTGCCTTAATGTTAGTTTTACATTATTGTGAGTGTAATGTTTTGTTCTTTTGTGTATGTGATGAACAAAATGACAAATGCAACCTACTCAATGATTTTGTAAGAACATTATCAACTGAAAAAAATAATTGAAAAAAATTTATCAAAATTATTTTTTAACTACCCAATTTTTTTTTAGGTGGCCCGAAAAAAGGGCGGTATTTAAAAAACCCAATTTTTTTTTTGCGCGTTCCCTTTTATACTTCAACTACTTTTTGTGTTTTAAAATTTTATATTGTACATTTTTTTGATCAATATTATCATTAATGCCCATATTTACACCAATAAACTAACGAGGAGAGTGACAGAAAGTGCTACAACAGTCTAAAATACTAAGTGCAATATCTTAAAAAAGCTTTACATAACCAAAATTAGCCTCTATAAAATATAAATTTTCAAATGACCTCAATTTGTCGAATATATTACGGACTTCAACATCTTTCATTTTTTGAACAATTACTGTTTATTACAAGTAAAAATGTTGCTGCAAGGCAACATTATTACATTAGCTATATACTAGAAAGCTATTTTCCGACATTTTCAGACTATCCTTTAACATGCAAACAAACAACCTGCATAGAATTATAAATATTAGGTTAAGAGGATCCGTGTTCATATTTGATAAAAGTTGTAAAATAAATTAAGGTTAAGGATTAAAGGCAATGTATAATGAAAATACACTTTCCTTCCTCATGCTATTATTTTGAAGAAATAATTTGAAAATTGCTGGTCAAATTAAGTTTTAATGAATTATATCATATGTTTGTCTGGTTATTGCGAGTCGAAAAAAATTATTATTTTGGCTCAACTTTATTTTTGCTCAACAGGAGCACCATTGAGGTCAAATTTCCCCTTAAAGCATAGCGTTTGATATCCTTGCATAGATCGAGTGAAATACTTAAAGATTGAAAAAATTGCAAATAATGATAAAGAAATATACTCAGAATTATATTGATTATTATTAATGTGCGTTAATTATTTGATTTGAGTGTAAAGCGTTGCGACGTTTTTTCAGTTTTAGTTGATTTTGGCAAATAAAAAAAAGATTCTGTTATTCTGGACAAAGGGTTGAGGGGATGATCTAAAAATTTGTACACAATTTGGTCTAGAAATACGGAGCCCGTAAGATGACATTTTTGACACTTTTTCCCCAGCACCTAATTACGAAATTCTTTAATTCGTTTTTACGAAATATTAATTAGTAGTTACGAAATATATATTTCGTAAAAACGAATTAAGTCCCGCGAAAAAAAGTGTGAAAAATGTCACCTTAGGGACTCCGTAAAGAATGGTACACAAATCTCTTTAAAATATTTCTAGTCTTTTAATATGACAAAAAACAACATCAACAAAAAAAAAACAAAAAAAAAAAACATAAAACAAAAAAAAAAAAACCTCAGTGTAGTTTCTTTAATAGATAGATAAGATAGATAAGATATAGTTTATTATCGTGACATGTGCATAAATGACATAGATACATAATATACAGATGAAAGAAAAGGCACCCGGCCCTTTTGGCCTATATGTCACCGGGAAATCAATGATGTCATTATTTACATAATTCAATAAAGTTACTTCTTTTATACATAGGATGATCTGAAGTACATGCATGTACAAAATACTGGTAATATATTTTTTTACGTTATCAAATATCAACAACTAATTAGTTACTATGTAAAGGTACTTTGAGCGGCATATTACAATTATTGTGCTTATTATTATACATATATAATTTAGGCGACATATTACAAATATTCAGTGGTGTAAACAAAAAAACCCCTCTAAGTTCTTAATGAACCACTATTAGCCTTCTTTAGTACACTGCAATTTACGAAGGTGTGTATAACAGGATGTGGCCTGAAAGATAAGAAAGTCATCATATATTATAAATATTTCACTGCTATCAGTGCTAGTGATTTTTATGGCTATTCTTTCATAACGGTAAGTTGTTACCTTTTTTCCATATTACAGGCATTTAAACATAATTTGCAGTTGATGCAAGGTTCTATGATTGTGATTTCTTATAAAACGCTTAAATGTGATTTACCTGTTTAAAGGACGTTTAATTTTCATATTTAGACAGATAATAATCTTTTTGTCCAGTTTCGATTTTGAAGTGTTCATTGGGCCTTTTTTCAATAGTTTAAAGGCACAATATGCCTCAGAAATGAATAAATATTTACTTCTTTAAAAGGGCCAAGCAATATCAGTTTTATAATGTTTAAGTAGTGGTTTTTAGAGCATGTTAGATGCCTGTTACCTGAAGAATATGAAGCTAAATGTAAAATTATATGTCATAAAAGTAGGAAAATTTTAACTTTCATACAAAATACTAAATCCCTATAATTGTACTTATTGCCAAAGGACAACAGAAGAAGAAGAAGATGATGACAGTTAAGGTATTTGGCCAATGAGTAACTTGTTGGAAACTATAAAAGAATACCAAAATTAACAGATTTTGAGTCATAGAAATGAAAACATTTCTTGGGCATAATGAGCCTTTAATTGATATTATTTTGCAGGGAGATTTTAGACAGCCATGTTACTAGCGGTCTTAATTCTTCTGACATTTGAAACATGTCATGCTGCTACAAGCAATGGGTAATATAACCTTTTATTTGTTAATTATATATTTCATGATATACAATATGTAATATAACCTTTTTTGTTAATTATATATCTCATGATATACTGTACAATTGCAATGGGTAATATAACCTGTTTTTTCCATTACATATCTCATGCTATACTGTACAATTGCAATGGGTAATATAACCAAATTACACATTTATGTAATTTCATGATATGCTTTACTACTGGAATTGGCAATATAACCAGTCTGTACTTTATATTAATATCTTGATATACAGTACAACTGCAATTGGCAATATAACCAATTCATACATTTTCACCGCATGATATGTTTTACAACTGAAATGGGAAATACAACAAGTTTTAACTTTATATTCATATCTTGATATACTGTATAAATACAATGTGTAATATAACCTAATTACATGTTTGTGTAATCTCATGATATGCTTTACAGCTGCAATGGAAAATATAACAAGTTTATACGTTATATTTATATCTTGATATACTGTATAATTCAAATGTTTAATATACCCAATTTCCACAATTTTTATCCTATGACATGCTTTACAACTGCAATGGAAAATATAACAAATTTATAATTTCTATTCATATCTTGTTATACTTTACAACTGAAATGGTAATATACCAATGGTTACACTATATTCCATAATTTGCAACATGCAGTTGGTAATATCAAGTTAAAACATAAGCTTTGGTGATATATGACAATAACTTGTTAATATAAGAAGTTTAAACATTACCTTTGTAGCACAAGTTTAAAAATACATACGGTATAATGCTGGTATAAACAATTGGTTGAGTAATCATATTTTACATTACGAAAACAGTGACATGCTGGTTTATAACCTATGCGTAATATGCTATTCAGAATATATGTAGATGTTAACAACAAAAACGAAAATAAAGATACTTACAAACACAAAACGTTCATAATCATATGCCATGTTCTTGTAAACGGAAATATGTCTTTGTAATGAAAGGACACACTGGATTGTCGTTCCTGACAAGTACACACCTGGAGTTCCGCTTCCGGTGACCTTCACCTTCTATAACACGTCTGGCGTTGATGTAAAGGTACAACTGGACCTGCTTTCCGATAGTCATCACAGAGTAACTTCCCTTACGCACACTTTTAAAGAAGGTAATTTATTATTTTTGTGCGCCAAATATTTTAAATACATATTCCATGCTTGATCAAATATAAGCAGTTATTTTCTGTCTTGGAAATCTTAACAAGAATCTCTATCAGAAATTTTTTTTTTGAAAATAAAAAAGCTTTTATATTAAGAACATCTGCACAATGTACCTATTTCAAAGTATGAGATTTTAAAGAATTATAGTCTATCCCCTAAAACGAAATGGTTACAGTACATTGTATATATAATTTTTATATATTATGTTTATCTGTTTAAGAAAGAGCAAAGTGTGAAGTTCCCACACTGTGATATTATATATTTAGTGTTGTTTATTGTTTATAAATTAATATATGATACTGCACTTTTTGTACAAGTCCTAAATAAAGTGATTATAGTATACAAGTCCTAAATAAAGCTATTCTGATGCACATGTCCTAGATAAAGTGAATCAGCAGTACAAGTACTAGATAAAGTGATTCTGCTGTACAAGTCCTATATAAAGTGATTCTGCAATAAAGTCACTCTGCTACACAAGTCCTAGATAAAGTGATTCAGTAGTATAAGTACTAGATAGAGTGATTCTGCTGTAAAAGTGACTCTGTTGTACAAGTCCTAAATAAAGTGATCTGCTGAACGAGTCCAAAATAAAGTGATTTTGCTGTACAAGTCCTAAATAAAGTAATTTTGATGTTCTGATATAACCTCTTTATTTATAATTTCTATAAACTTTTTTTCTCGCAGGAAAACCAGGGTTGTTACAACTGCAGGTAAGAGTTTTGCCTTTCAGTTGATGTTCAAAAATACAACACACGGTGTGTTTGTGTGTGTGTCGGAGGGAGGGGGGATAGGGGACTTTTTCGCCTGCATTAAGTTTGGTGTAGTTTTAACAGCGCGATTAATATGAACGCGGATTTCGTACCAAAACTATAATCAATACCTTATCATTGCTGAATGTTTTTAATTATCTTTTTCTTCATGACTGATATATTTTTAAATGCGACATGGGATAACTGTCATTAAGGGTTTGTTGTTCTTGGTTTTTCATGTATATTAGTTTTAGTAAACAGTATAATACACTAAATGATTACATATTGAAGCTTTTGTAGTTGAGACCTCATGTTGTCACCTATGAATCTCTTTAGCACGACAGTGCCTTCGTTATCAGCTAACCCTCAATAAATAATTCGTTGTGGACTTGTTTGAACTCTCTGTGTGTGCGTGCATTTTGGGTTTTAGTGATTGAAATTAATTTGATCCAAAAGAATTGCAGTTTTTCGGATGTATCATAACATATTTAATTTCATTGGTAATTTGGCTAAATTTTATCAATCCAGTAAATCGATAGTTTTGTTAAAATACAGTTGATAAAATTATTGTTTAAACATTATTTAAAATTGGTTAGTGTTTAATATGAAGCTACATTCTTCTACGTTAAATAAGCCGAGGGGCTGCACCGTTCTTGACCAACTTCATTTTGTGAATGCTTACCAATACTAACCTATACTCAAAGAAAATCTTTTGAGTTTTATGAACGTGATTACATTGTATATAATAATATATATATAAAGCTATCACAAATTCAATTCATTATATATTTTTGAATAGTATGGTGGCTGATTTGTGCTATTCGTGTTTCGCCCCGCGACTCCGCCGAACGAAAAAGTTAAAATTAGGGGTCGCGGAGCGAAAACACGCTTATAAGCGAGGGCGCTAGGTGAACACGCGGGTGGCGCGGAGCGACATTTAAGAAATAAAACGTCGAGTGCGCGTACCAAAAACTCGCTTTTTAGCGGGGGCGCCGGGCGAATATTTTTTATATTTAGCATGTTTTTGCCTTGCGACCACGACTGCTGAAAGTCGAGAATTAACAAGTCAAAATGGCGGGGTCGCATGGCGAAAACATTTATGGCACAAATCAGCCACCATAGAATATACATTTCCATACCATTGTTGTCACATGTACTTTATGTTTTTCTTAAGGTACCAAATCTATCAGATAATCCAGAAACTTACTCTCTCCTGATAAATGGACTAAGGGGTTTGTTTTTCCAAGAGCATGCAATCTTACACCATGATTCTGGTGATATCAGTGAAATGTTCGCCGTACATATTCAGACAGACAAGGGTATATATAAGCCTGGACAAACCGGTAAGTCTAGGTATAAATTCGGACAGAAAAGGGTATATATAAGCCTGGACAAACAGGTAGTCTAAATATATTCGAACATACATGGGTATATTTAAATGGACAGACAGTTAAGTCTAGGTATATATTCAGACAGGAAGGGTACTATATGTAAAATATAAACAAACAGGTGAACCTACTTATTTGATTTGTTTAAGGACACATCAAGATATATTCAACAAGCCATGACAAACAGGTCGATCTACCTTTATATGTAGTTAGACAGAGTGAAGCTTTAGGTACATGTATTTATAAACATGAGCAGGTAAACTTTACCAACAAAACAGTAAATATTACATTAGCTTGCACAATCAAGTAAGCCTAGACACAGATTAGGGCAGTTAAGTTAAGCAGCTAAATTCTATTGGATGGATAAAAACGTATGCCTATCTTCAAAGAAAAAAATCGTTTCTTCGACAAGAAAAAGAAAATACAAATAAGATAGCCTAGGTACACAATGGTATAACGCCGTGTTTTCATAAGGAGATTAAACACCTTATGTTGTTACCATTTGCATATGCTAAAGAAAAACACTTAATGTTTAAAATATTGAAATTATATTATTATTTAACATAATAGAAAATGTGTTAGTTTTGCTTTAAAAAGAAAAGTTTCGCACTTTATGTCTAAACAAATTATTAATTAACTTTATGTATCAGTGAAATCACATCCCAAATACATTTGCAAGGCTTAAGTACATGACTAAAATTACTCACACATTTGTCTTTCAGTGCGTTTTCGGACATTTGGGATTTCGTCCACAATGTTGGTTTATACGGGACAACTCAACATTTCGATTACTGTAAGTATATGTTAAATTCTGTTGTTTTCATGGCAGTATTATATTTGTTTTATTTTGTTCATGGTTTTTGTGCTGCATCAATATTGTAAAAGTAATATAGCGACATCTAGGGTTGAAGGCATGAAACCTAAGCTTGATTACTCGGCGTAATATTTCAAACTTCACAGGGTACCTGGTGTATGAGTAAACAATATGGGAGGGATTCTCTTAACATAGAATGAAAAATATGATTGCAAGTGAGTTGCCCTTTTTTTAAAAATACACAAGAAATTAAAGAATTGGTCCACTAATGTTGCATATAATTATATTTTTTTAAAAGAAATCTGAAAACAAAGTTTGTTGAGGGTACGAACTTGCAACTTCTGGATTGCTATGCAACCATACTTACCACTAGACCATCGGGATGTTAGTATCACGTTAAGTGTCGAAACCTTTCCTATCATTAAAATCAATTGGTAAATCTACCGAAAAAGCTTCAGAGTTTCAGGTCAATATTGCCAAACAGTGCTACCGATTTTATCGTTTCTTCAATTAATATGTAAAATTTCACTTCTTTCAATCAACATTATTAAATTTGGAATGTGTGAACATTTCAGGATCCGAAAGGAAACATAATGAAGAATATGGTGAACGTATCGGAATCAAATTATGGTGTCATCGAAGATTATCTTATAATGGACTCTGAACCGGTTCTTGGTACATGGACAATCACTGCAAAAGTTAAAGACAGGGTAAACAATGCTGCAATTTTGGTCAGAAATTTCTCATGTTTTTTAACCGTAATATTGAAAATATTTCGTTTTCAGTTTACAGTTTCATTTTTTTATTCTGAAATACTGTTCCATCTTGGCATTTAACAAATTAATATAATGTTGTCAAATGAAAACAACCCTTATACAATTTTTCTAATAGTTTAAACTGATAATTGTTTTTTCTATGTTATGTTTGTTAATTTTATTTTGATTTTCTAAAATTGAATCATAATTTTGAGAGCATCTCGACATTTTCGTTGTACATATAAGTATCATTTTATGGTTTATTTAAATTGTATTCTATATTTCTTCTAAATCTTCCACTCTATCGATGTAAAACTATATATTTTGATTTCCTATTTCTATTTTGAAATCAAAACATTAAAGGGACTCCACTGTGTTGTTTTACATGAAAGAGCTAATAATAATAATAATATGTTTTTTTCCGAGATTTGATGTATCTTAACCAATAAATTGTGTTCAAATTTTACTTTTATTGTGCAAAATGACCCTAACATGAAAAACGTTGCAACGCTTTTCACTCACATTGAGATAAAAATTGTATTGCAGAATTTTCCATTCTTTCAGGCTGACAAAGTCAAACATTTCATTGTACAAAAATACGGTAGGTTGTTACGATACATCTTTGAAAAAACCTATCTGCGGATGTTTCTAAATTCAAAATTTCACCATTTTTAGTGTTAAAAAGTTGAATTCTGCTTAAGCCGGTGCTAGGGGGCGTGGACGGTAACTTGCACTTTCCAGTACCGTCCATGAACAGGCTCAATCAAACCGAGCCTACAACATTTTACACGTATGCCGTGTTTGGCTTTCTTTAGGGATTCTGTTCTGTACTACATGTACATAATTAATTATTATAACCTACCCGCCCCCCTAAAAAAAACAAAAAAAAAACTGTTGCCCTCATGATTCTAAACGAAACAGTTGACAAATCATTTTATTTTTTTTTTATAAATGAAATATTGAGAAATATTGATGAAATAAAATGCGTATTTTTTCTTTTCGTATTTTCACTGTAAACTTTCTTTTTCTCTGCAGTGAAACATATTTTCCGTATTTTCACTGGATTCTTGCGTTATAAAAGGAGAAAAAGTATTAAAAGAGCCCCCTGAAAATTCAAGTTTTTTCCCATTAATACAGGATTTATTTTCATATTGTGTGCCACTCGTGAAATATTTATTTTCATACCATTCGCTGAAAATATATCCTGTATTTATAGAAGAAACTAGCTTATCCTCTGTATATTATTTTATTCATGGACAGTGTTTGTTTGTGTGTTTGTTGTACAAATTTATATATTTACCATAACTGGGACATGCATCAATTGGCTTGTATATGTATGTCGCTTTTTCGTGCACGGACAATTTAAGCAAACTCTAGTATTACATTGCTTGTTCTAACTTATTCTGACCTTTCTTAACATGTGCTCGTTATCAGACTGAAATCAATGAAATCCTTTCGACGGTCATTCGCACCGTACCTCTGCTCAGGCAATTACAGAAGTTTCAGTTCCTTGCGGAAGTAATTGCAACTAGTACTGGTAAACTGCTTGACAGCCTGCCCAGGAATGATGCGGTGGTTGAACTCTACTCTAGTGAATTCAATGTGGCTGTCGTGGTCCTGAGTGAAAACTACCAACCCGAACAAGTGGTATACAACCTCATTTACAACATACAGGATCTTTTAGCAAGCCAGGAATCTTTGGGAAAGAAATAAAGTCAAAATTTTATATTTCAAGGAATTGTGATAATAAATTTTCACTATACTTTCTCTTGTCTAATTTTTAGTGCTTCCAAAGTTTGATATAAAGATAGAGCTGCCCTCTTACGTCGTTACCACGGACAACGAAATGCACGGTACCGTCAAAGCAACGTAAGCTTAATTCAATTCTTATTTTTTTTCTTTAGATACAAATGTATTTTTTGTGTCCCTTATAAAATATATTGGATAAACGCAACAAAAAACTAATGAGATAATGTATTTTTATGCGTTAAAATCTTCATCTAAGGTAGCGACGTAGCAAGGACCTGTTTTGTTCTTCAACTTTTTGCACAGCAAACTTGTGATTTCGAGAAATTCCTACGGTAAACCTGAGAAGGGAACAGTAAAATTATGTGCCGTCATTTTTCTTTCCCGATATTCGTACGATAAACCTGTGATTGATACAGTAAAGCTATATGCCGTAATTATTTCCAGATATTCGTACGGTAAACCTGTGATTGGAACAGTAAAGCTACATGTCACCATTTTTCTTTCCATATATTCGTACGGTAAACCTGTGATCGGAACAGTAAAGCAATATATCGGCATTTTTCATTTCAGATATTCGTACGGAACAGTCAGGCTATATATCGGCATTTTTCTTTCCAGATATTCGTACGGTAAACCTGTTATTGGTACAGTAAAGTTATATGCTGACACAGATTATGGCAGTGCTCCATGGAAATATAATGGTGGCGGAGTGATGGTGGAATTAACATTTAATGTATGAATTGTTTATGGCTTATCAGTCAACGAATAGCTTATTGAAATGGTATTGCCCTTCCCACCATTCTGTACGTCCGGAACAATATCTTTTACATTTTACCTTGACAATTGCCATACAAGTTTTATAAAGATATGGAAGAACATTTTAAGAAGGAATTACAAAAATTTAATTAAACTACGGCCTTGTATTTTTTGAAGTTATTTCCCTTTTTACTTTATAATGCATTTATATAAACTTGAAAACTAAATCCGTTTCTTGAGGCCAATTCAATTTGTAAAGTATTAATAAAGGATTTGAAATCATAAACTTAACAGTGTAAAACATTACTCATAAATACTTCTAATCGAAACACATAATTTTTTTTGCAAAATTTTTGAGTAAACGACCCTTAGGTTAATTATTAAAATTAGCAAAAGGCAAAATTAGGAAACCTAAAATCGATCTTGACACTTATTTGCATGATTTTGATATATCTTAGCATAAATATGAATTTTAAAGGGGAGGGGGCGGTTGATTTATAACAGTTCCATAGAAGTTTACCTAAGTTTAATTGATATTTTGGCTCTTTTAAACATAGAAATACAAAATTAAGTCATTTCTAAATAAAAAAAAATGAATTGACCTGTCTGCTTCGTTAAATCCAGACTGTTCTGAATGTATGGTGAATATTAAATTCAACGAGTGTGTTGTTTAGTAATGGCATTTTCTTACTAAGGGCCATACCGTAGCATAAAGGGATTACAGCGAAATTACCTCCCTTTTTAAAATAATCATACACACTTGATTGTCAACCTTATAAGAATGTGTGCATGTGATTCATCATGTTTTATGCCCGTGATACCTTGATTTAGAAACCCAGTCTTGGACAAACTATAGCCCTAGTGTTTACATCCAGATTCCCTGGTTAAGCACATTTTGGTGTCTTCAAAAACATATTTTGTGCCTTATATCTACTCAACAAAAGATTAGTTCAACTTATCTAAATGGCACATTATGCCAAATTAATGCTTATATGTTATTTTTTTTTCAAAAGTTTTCTTATGTTGTCCAGTGACATTTTCAAAAAAGTTATGGCCGTGTCGAACTAGTAAACTAATGATCGCTAGCCGCATGAGTTCAAACCCTGTCAGGGGCAAGTCGCTCTTTCGTTTAGCAAGAAACTTTACACTCATTGCTCATTATTGGTTTATTCCAATAACGGATTCGAAAGTGAGTCTTTAAGCTTATAGCTTCCTACACAATCAAACTCAAATAAATTGTGAATAAACGAAAAATTTTACTCAATGGCCAATTACCCCAAGCATGATTGCATCTATTGCTTTTTTTGGTCATTATTAAAATGTGGTGATAAAGTGGTTTGTATGGAAGTCACAATATTTTTTCATTTTCCATTTGTTACTTGTTGGGCAGTTTATTTCGTATTCAGCGCTACTTTCCTTAACTGATAAACACCGTAAGTGTATGGTGGCTAATTTGTGCCATCTGATTTCGCCCCGCGACCTCGCCAAGCAAAAGTTCGAGAATTAACAAGTTAATATGGTTGGGCGCGGAACGAAAACCCGGTTATTAGCGGGTGCGGGGCAAAAGTTTATCTATTAGTTTTTGCTCCACGCCCCCGACATTTTAATCTTGTTTTCTCGACTTTTCGTTTGGCGATGTCTCCGGGCAAAAACACGAATGGCACAAATCAGCCAATATAATTATATGTGGTTTTCATCACATTATTTTCAAAACGTTGTAAAACATGTGTTTTACCTTTCTAAAGAACGGAAATAATAAAATCTGGGTCATAATGTGCCTTTTTTCAAAACTGGTATACATCCATGTTTAATAACATGTTAAAAATTCCAACCAATTAGAGACTGTTGAAAAGGTATGATTTTAATTTTTCTACATCTTTGTTTTATTTAGATTAACGGAGAAGCTAAATTTACGGTTCCATTCAGTCGTATACGAGACGAAGCTGATCCAAATACATATGAACCCCTGGTCCAAAAGCTGGCAAATTATCATCTTACCATTAAAGCGTCCGTAACAGAAAGCATCAACAATATAACAAGAAATGCTACAGCTCAGGTAGTTTTTTGGGGTAGTAAATCATGAATAATGTTAAGATTTAATACTTTATTTATTATAAAATTGCCAAGATTTTGGTTGTTAAATGTTTCAATTATTTCTTCACACTGCTGTTTATCACATAACATATTATTAATAATAATAATAATAATAATAATAATAATAATAATAATAATAATATAATAATAATAATAAAAATAATAATAATAATAATAATAAAAAAACTTATAATTATACTAATACTAATACTAGTACTAATACAAATAATGATTAAATTTTGTAGGTGAAATTTTACAAGGTGCCATTTCGTCTGTCGTTTGATACCGCACCAAGTATGATGTTTTTTAAACCGGGATTAACGTATCATGGTCGAGTAAGTAACTTTAACTATTCACTTACAACTTTGCAGTGATTTTTCTGCTTACATAACAGACTCCGATTAAAGGCCTCTTCCCAATTGAAATTTTCTTAAAAATCAGGCAGTTTTCCCAAAAATCTGAACTTAAACCTGCTTTTAATTTCCCAAATTAGCAATTTTAGCGATATTTTTTTTTCCAAAATCAAGAGGGCTAAGGCCTCTTCCCAATTAAATGGGAAAAATCTCTTGAGTGAGTGACATAAACGTATTATTTTATTTATGTATATATATTAATTAACATGAAGTATCATATTCATTATATAATTCAGAATATTTGAGTATTGTTTTCTTTATTAGTTCTTTTTAAGTGGATTTTGGTTTCTACCTTTTACTTATGAACATAAAGTAAAAAAATAGAATAAATATAAAACAAGTAATTGTAAAAATCGCAAAACACCTGTCTTTAACACTTAACGGTGCATTGGATGATTTAATGAATAAGTTTTTTCCCCCATTTTTACAGGTGTCATTAACACAAGCCGACGGTAATCCGGTCATTTCATCTTTACCGGAAGTGACGCTTGTAACGTATGTGAAATACTACGACCCGGCTTTGCATTCATATAACGCTCATTACTTACGGGAACAAACATTGGTTCCTCCAGCAACGGGCTCGCTTAGTTTTAGTGTAGACCCACCAGAAAATGTAGATTCTCTTCATATCAAGGTAGTTTACCAAATATTATATTGAAATAGAAATTATTTAGTTTTGATGGTTTCAAAAATGAACTTCATTTACTTCACATGTATTACTTTAAATACATTTTCAAAATTGTCGTGAAAATTATCATGAATCTGAAGGCTGTATTTATCATTCGGAATAAGTTCAAAACACGTGATAGTGCATGTATATGAAAATGTATTAAGTTTTCAGTTTACCTTTTTTATTATCAATTTGATTTGATAAAGATATTTATATGTTGTTACATTAAGTAATTTCTCAAGATATTGAGTTGTTAAGAATATTTTTAGTGGCAAAAACAACAACAACAACAACAACAACAAAAAACAACAACAACAGCAAAAAATAAAGAGATTAAATTCAAACGTCTGTTTCAACAAAGTCGAGTGTTATTGCTACATGTAGAAAAGATAAGCTAATATTGTAATATTGTCTCGACAGTCCTAGTATTTGCATGAACAATTGATGAATATTACAGGTTGAGTTTAGAGGACTATCTGACATGATACATATCAAAAAACCTTACTGGGTTACTGAGGCTGGAAATATCCAGATAAAGTTAAACTCAAAACAAGTGGTGAGTTTCTTTTACATTTTATGCAGCTTGGAATTGCTATTTAGATATCTGGGAGCAAGGACAACGTCCTTTGCTTACAATTAAATTTTCAGTAACTCAATAACTTACAATAACTCAGCTGGGTAACTGAGCTGGGTAACTGAGGCTGGAAATATTCAGATAAAGTTAAACTCAAAACAAGTGGTGAGTTGTTTTTATATATTTTATGCAGCTTGGACTTGCTACTTAGATATCTGAAAGTAAGGTCAACGTCACTTGATAACAATAAATTTTCCAGTAACCCAATGATTTAACTTACAATAACTCAGCTAGGTAACTGAGCTGGGTAATTGAGGTTGGAAATATTTAGATAAAGTTAAACTCAAAACAAGTTGTAAGTTGTTTTTATGTTATACACCGTTGGATGTAAAACGTACCTAATTCTTGTTTCTTTTTAAACACATACGTACATATAGATGTTCATAAAAGATTTTTTTACGCATTTTTTTTTAAATGACAATATGCTCATATTTGGTTATCAAAGTTAAGCTGAAATGGTTATATATTTCAAAAGATAGACTCTTATAATGGTGATGGATCGAAATTTAATTTAAAAAAATGGTTTAGGTAAAATTGCCGAAAATATAAAAACAAACTTTTCATCAATTGAACATTACAGACACATTCTGAATTGTGCATTTTTAAATTGTTAGTTATGCCTTATCACTCACATACATACTTGATTTAAAATCAATTTGCAACATCTTTTGAAAAATATTATTTTGTGATTTAGACTGTGGGACACAATGCATCGTTCTTGATCCAGAAAGCAAGGGAGCTTACACACGAGCATTTATTCTACGCCGTAAGTAATTTTATTGTTTCATATTGTGTCTACACATTTTTTAATCGATGAACACAGAAGTAGCTTGAAGTGTATTTTGACTTTTTGTGGATATATTTATTATACGTTATAATGCTATGTTTTGATCCCTTTGATTAACCTTGTCCTAAAATTTATCGTACTTATGACAATCTTATGAAAAATATATTAATTTGAATGAAATAAGACACGATCAGTGGAATTATTATCATTTTATGATCGATAACTAGACTCAAAACAATATTACGTTGATGTTAGTTTGATGTCAAGTCTAAGTATGGTAAATAGATGTTCACGTTGGAGTTTCTGTCACATCCAAGTATTAAAGAGATGTTGTGTTAAGAAAAAATGAAAAATACTTCAACAAAATTCGTTCTTCGACTGGTTTGCAAGGCCTGTATTTTCTGCATGACAACGTTTGTGCACACAAAGGAGCTACTGTATTTTGTTTTTGAGAAAAACGAGTGGCTGTCCTTAAACACCCATCGTATCCCCCAAATTTGGCACCCTGTGTCTTTTTACTCCCTCCTTGACTGAAGAATATCACATTTGACAAGTCATCTCTACAAGAGTAGGGGTGGACTTGGGTTGGCCATGTTTTCAGTTATTATAAGAAATGACGGCACAGTAGGACTATGTTGAAGCATTTAAAAATTGGATTTAACGTCTAAAACTAACTTAGTATTTCTTTATATTTTAGTAGGAAAAGGTGAAAGGAAAAATGTAATGTTTTTTCTATTTTGTATAATTTATTGCCCGTATTGCATTACATATTGACTCAGCCTCGTACTGTCGTACATGTACGATTTAAGTGAGAACCGTTGCGAGATTAAAATAATCGTTGCAGTTAAATATTCTTGTAATTTTTCAAGTACATATTTCCCACCACTTGGCCATATTTTATTTTGTTTGGTACTAGTATTTTTTAGTTTGGTTTTACGTCAAACCATTGTTTGGTGGTTTTTGGTTGGGTTTTGCGTCGAACCAACAGCGTATAGGTCATAAAGTGACTTTTCAGCTTTACTGGTGGTGGTAGAAGACCTCCGGTGTACGATCGGGCACCGGACCCAATATCATGCATATCAAGCATTGCATTCACTATGTTGAGTTGTATAGACCATAATGTTTTGGTAGATCTTTCTTACACTGAAATATACCATAAGTCCTACTGGATACTCGTTAGTTATTTCGTATGTTATTTGATCATATACTTTTAGGTGGTTGCCAATGACCGCATTGTCCACTCAGGAGTTGTATATGATGATGGGTCTAGTTCAGTACCACTGTCCTTTGTAGCGACCGAGAAGATGAAACCGCACGGAAAACTCATTGTGTATTATTTTACAAATGACGAATGGAACGCTGATGCCACGTATTTTCAAGTTCAAGACAGTTCCAAAAAGTTCAGGAATAAGGTGAGGTATATCGGATATGTACCGCCGTCGATGATTATATAACGACAACTTTCATTGGTCAATTGTGACCTTCATGTATATACAATATATATTAATACATTTATGATCATTAGAATTATGCATGTTTGGAACTTGGAATTACATAACACAAACGCTACGCTCATAATTTTAATATCTAATACATGATTTGATGCAATTTCATTGATCCAATTTCTATTTAAGGCTACGCTATATTTCAAAGTTATTTCAAGGACTTGACATATTATGACCGTGTTTTATCGATTGTTTGCCATTATTATAAATGTGTTTGCACTATAAATTATAAAGATCTACTCCAGAAAGAAATGTATCTAAATGCAGCTTAAAGTTTCATCTTCAGCAATAATGATAAGCAGGCCTGCATAACATCTAGTTTGAAGGAAATGGTGAGAGTGGTGACAGGTTTAGGGTTTAGCTCGAAAAACTCCAAAATTGAAAATGAATAGTTAAAATTGCAACTCTATTTTAAAAAACTCAAGAGTAAAGTAATGGTGTGATTTTCTACTTTCAGATAGCTCTGTCATTCAACAAAGCAACTGCAGAGCCCGGAGACTCTGTGAGTTTATCCGTTTCTACAAATCCCATGTCGTTAGTTAATATGTTGGCTGTAGACCAAAGCGTAATGTATCTGGCTAAAGGAAATGATATAACAGGAAATGACGTAGGTGTATATTGTATTATCTTTTTTGCCCTGATAGCTAATTGATTTGTTACAGATATGTTATAGCATGCGTACAAAAAAAGAAATATCGTGTATCATGTAATTGTATCATACAAAATTCGTTCATAATATTTCATTATATTGTATCATACAAAATATAAAATGAATAATTCAAAACCTCAAAGCGGCTAATTCTACGACAAATTTGCTTTAACGTTACGCTCTATCCCCTTGTGGCTGAGGGGTTGCCTTTCATGGTTCAGGCATCAGAATTGCAGAAACCGTTTTAAAACCCTACTTGATCGTAAGAGGCGACTAAATGCGTTCGAATTATTTTCTCAGCTTCAGCAGGTAACGTGGTTTTGACCAATGATGTTGCTTTAAGTTTTGTACACCCGAGGTTAGCAAAATCATCTTTAACTTAAATTGTCTTGGTTCGCTGTAAAACAAAACAAACAAACTTACAAACGTTATGTTCTAGTTATTTAGTTATTCAAACTCTTTCGAGATTGTAAACCGACTAAAATCCACTTTCGGGAAAAGGATATCTTTTCATGAAATGCAAACAAACTTGAAGTTTAGCCTACCCGATTATCACAAACGAGGAGAGCATTTTATGTTTTTATCACACACTGCCGGATCAAGATACATCCAGCCAACATTTTAGAACCATCAAACTTTTAAAAAGACAATCATAAGCATAGAGCTCGACCTTTTGAGTGAAGTATAAATCTATTTTCAGTAGGTAATAGACAGCTGAAAATTGCAATCGTTTGTAGCTTTTATCTGAAACCTTTCAACAAAAGAGAAAAACAAAACAACAAAACAATAGTAGCATCAGCAGCAGCAGCAGCAACAACAACATTATTATTTTATGCATTTACATTGTATAAAGATGTTAAGAGACATCTTGTTTTACATACTAAACGCAGAAAGCATATGAAAAAGAATACAGATCTATTAAATCGTTTAATTAATGTAAATTATTAATCAATAAATTAGTAATTTATAGTTATGTTATTTAATGTAAAATAAATGCTTTCTTATTCAGATAATCTCCTCGCTAATGGTCAAAGGTCAAAATTCTCAAGACTCAATTGACTTGCACGCTCCAAAAGATGTCTTGAAGGTATGAAGTATCTAATACACTAACAGATGTAGTTATTTTTCATAACATGATTTCCACTTCAAAGTAAATATTTTAAAATTTCACAGTGAAATTATAAAAAAAATCGGTAAGTGTAGCTCTAGCCGAACTTTATTTGTATTAGAATGAAAAAGAATACGTTTTTGGGGATGTCCGGTAAATCCTGGTAAATGCGGACATCGGGTAAATACAGTTTGAGCTCACCCTGTAGAACTGTTTGAATATTTCACTCGATAAATGTCCATCTTTGCCTGTTCGGTTAATTCATTTTGATATCTGTTCAAATACAAACTGTTCATATTTTGATAAGAGTTTGATAGTTCATATTAAATAAATCTGTATCCAAGCCTGTGTGGTCTGAAATGTTTGAATATCCCCTTCCTTGTCCGGTTTATGCCTACTGAGTGTCCTTTCAAAACATTACGATATTTAACCAAATATGAACAGATTTCTAAGAAACATCTCTATAATTAATAAATTTTGATTCCTTTTATAAGTAAAATTCCCCTTACGACTGTTTGTGAAAGTATAATTGTAAAGAATCCGGATTTACCCCCCAAAAGCTATCAACAAGGAAAACATTTTTGTTTGTTTGTTCATATTTTAATTGGTTTCAAGTATTTTTCAGTAATTGTCACGCACTCTTTTTATTGACATCATTTCACTGTTCATGCTGAAAAATAGTATTGAAAACTTTTCTCCAATTTTCTTACGTTTTATCATGATTGTACAATTATTTATTTTCATTCCTTCATAATGTACATTTTATTTTATTTATAAGCAGATTTCTCAAGTTATTTCCATTAATTTAAGATTACTCTTATTTCTCTATATTCAAACGTGTACATATAGAGCTGTGGTTTGGAACTGAATATCTGGCAGATTGGATTGATATCAGAAATGTCTGATAGAAGATTTCTATGATATATAGAAAATATTAATCACTATCCGTTAAACGATGACCTATTGGTTGTAATGCGAAAATGAAAGGAATATTGGTTTAAAGTTTACAAGGGCCACAACAATGATTCCTGTACTGGTTTGTTCTAGAAAGCTGTCATTAGAGTTGTTCACTCATATTCATCATATTTTGCGTTTGTGTAATTCACTTACAGCTGCATGCCTCCAGATGAGCCAAAATAGCTCAAGAATAATTAAAATTAAGAAAAGATCTACATTTTTTTTCAAAAGTATAAATATTTGAGATTCAAGTTATTGGCTATTTATCACCATATTTCTACTGCGTTACTAGTCATGAATCTGGAGGCATGCTGCTTTAAATTATAAATTGTTTGCATAGGCAGTGAAATTGGTATAAGAACACAAAATATTGTCTTTGTCAAACATTATCACTTCAGACGAAAGGTATACATGTTTTAACTGACGTCAAAAAATTTAATTGGGCCAATCCAATGTACAGACGTCAACTGAACTGTGACTGTGAAAGGTATGTATTTATCTAATTATGTATTTCTAATAAATGAACGTACTTCTAAACTAATGTACTTCTGAACTAATGCTGCTCGAATAACAATATTCTGAACAAATTTACTTATTACTTTTGTGTTCTTAATGATTCTTAACCGACGTCGCTTTTTAGATAACACACGTCATGATAAATGTATTTGCAACCTACGTCCCTTTTTAAAATATACACGTTTGTAACCTACGTCCCTTTTTAAATTATACACGTTATGATAAATGTATTCGTTACCTACGTCTCTTTTTAAAATATACACGTTATGACAAATGCACTCCCGGCGTCCCGTTCTGAGAAAGTACACATTGTGACAATTGCATAATTTATCTTTGTCACATTGTTTCTCTGGAACACATACATTCTGAAAAATGCACTCCTAAGTTACGTCGTCTTTTATGTAGCACACGTTTTGACAAATGTACTCCTTATCTGCGTCAATTTCAGTCAGATTGTAAAAGTTCATGACGTCTTTAATTGTATCATGTATTAAGAAACATAGCTTGTTTACGTTACTTAATAAAGAATCTTGAATCTTAAATCTTTAGCCCTCCGATAGTAAAAATAGTCATGGCTTTTTTGCTTTCAGGTATTCGACTTTAATCATGATGAAGTTTATAAGTTTTTACGTCCTTCATCGTCTGAGAGTAAAAAAAAATCATGACGTCTCTTTTACTGTCAGATAGTTAATATATTTCATGACGTATACCACCATGAGGTTGTAAATATTTTATGACGTATTTCACCATGAGTTTGTAAATATTTTATGACGTATACCACCATGATGTTGCAAATATTTTATGACGTATTCCACCATGAGTTTGTAAATATTTTATGACGTATTCCACCATGAGTTTGTAAATATTTTATGACGTATTTCACCATGAGTTTGTAAATATTTTTATGACGTATACCACCATGATGTTGCAAATATTTTATGACGTATTCCACCATGAGTTTGTAAATATTTTATGACGTATTCCACCATGAGTTTGTAAATATGTTATGACGTATTCCACCATGAGTTTGTAAATATTTTATGACGTATTCCACCATGAGGTTGTAAATATTTTATGACGTATTCCACCATGAGTTTGTAAATATTTTATGACGTATTCCACCATGAGTTTGTAAATATTTTATGACGTATTTCACCATGAGTTTGTAAATATTTTATGACGTATTCCACCATGAGTTTGTAAATATTTTATGACGTATTCCACCATGAGGTTGTAAATATTTTATGACGTATTCCACCATGAGGTTGTAAATATTTTATGACGTATTCCATCATGAGTTTGTAAATATTTTATGACGTATTCCACCATGAGTTTGTAAATATTTTATGACGTATTCCACCATGAGTTTGTAAATATTTTATGACGTATTCCACCATGAGTTTGTAAATATTTTATGACGTATTCCACCATGAGTTTGTAAATAGTTTATGAAATTTAACACTGTCAGGCATAACGTACGTCTTTTAAAATCAGATGGTTTATAGTTTGTAATGTTTTTACCGGCAGATAGTTAGTATTTCATAACATAAGTCAACATTAGGTTGTAAATGAATTATAACATTTTTTTGCCTCCTCGTAGTGAATACTTCATAACGTCTTTCACTGTAAGGTAATGAATATTTCTTCACGTCTTTCATCAGTTTGCTTATAAAAGTTCAGAACACAAGAAGATAACGTACAATTTATCATTTCAGTTGCCCATCGTACAACAATAACCTATCACAGTGTCAGCTAGTGCGGGATCCTAGCAACCCTTGTTGTAGAATCCCTCAATGTAGTTTTGCAGGTATGTATATACAAGTATTAACAATCTGTATATAGGCACATTATGCCTCAGAAACAAACACATTTTTTACTTCTGTAGAAACGGGAAAGATGAATATTTAAACGTTTAGCTAATGGCTTTTGAGAAATGTTAGATGAAATATTCTAGCGATAAATGTGAAATTATTTGTCATAAAAATAGCAAAATGTAAAAAAATAGTAGTATTTTGACTTTCACTATTTATACTTATTGCCAAAAATCAACACCAATCATTCAATCTTTTATAACATATATATCTTTATTTCACAAAGCCAGTAGACCAGACTGGTCCATGAGGCAACATATTTACAATATATACAATTACATAGGTCACATGACATCAATTGTTAACTATTGCATACAAAATAAACATACTCAAATACAAATAAGCCTTGAAACAGACTATACATTTTAAAAGATAAACTTATTTGCATAATAACAATTGAAAAGGACTATACATTTTTAAAACTATACTGTTTACAAAAGAGGATAAACACACAGGGACTTGAAAAACTACTGCAAAATGTATGTCTGTATATATCGTAATGTATTGGGAGAAGACATACGATTAATTTTGATACAAAGCTTCATTTCTGATTTTGAATGCTTTATAAATATATAGTCCTAAATTAAATATAACATGTTCATTTTGGCATTTCAACAATTCTATGAATTTGAACATACTGGGTTTAATTACATAATTTTGTGGTATTAACCTTTTTCTCAGAACATTATATTTAGAGCAACATATTACAAAATGATATTCATCTTCAAGCACATTACAGTGTCTACAAAATCTATTATTTATATCCACTCTATGTCTAGACCATCTACCAGTTTCTATTTCAAGTCTATGAGAAGACAAGCGTAATCTAGTAAGTGCATGTCGCACATGTTTAGTTTTTATAAAATTAAGATAAGGATGGAAACTAAAATCTGAGATATTTTTATAAAATAATGCTCTAGATGACTCTTCTAATCTTGAATTCCATTCTTGTACATAAACATCCGACAGTCGTTGTTTAAACAATTCTAAAAACACATTTATATTTGCAACTCCTTGAAATAACCATACATGATAAAAACCATAGTGACTTAATAAACATTTCACCTGGTTTGCCCAATTAAGAGTATTTGGGTGTCTTTCTATTGTATTTAACATATCTTTATAAACTATTTTAACATATTTCCTATCGTTTAAACGTAGAATTTTAAACCAATATTTAACAATTGAAAGTAAACATCTTGTTCTACATGGTAGTCTTCCTATTTCACCATAAACAAAATCATTTTGACAGTTCTTTTTAACACCAAGGACCTTCTTACAAAATTGTGTGTGTACACGTTCAATACAGTTTGCAGATGCAAAACCCCAAACTTCACTGCTATATGATAAAATTGGATAAACTAATTTGTCAAATAGATCTAAAACATGCTTCGGCGATATATCAACAAATTTATACAAATACTTTTCTAGCCTATACGTTGCTTTAAGGGCCTGACCAGCTAATAATGTTTGCGTTTCTGTAAATGCACCACCAGTTGTAAAAACAACACCTAAGTATGAAAAACGATTAACTATTTCCAATATATTACCATTATAGTTAAACTCTAAATGACCAGGCAAACGACCGCCTTTTCTAAAAACCATAACTTTTGTCTTTTCTGCGTTAACAACAAGTTTCCACCTTTGACAATATGCTTATAAAACATCAAGCCCTTTCTGTAAATCACTTGGGCTGTTAGAAAAAATAACAATGTCATCTGCATAAAGCATAAGAAATAACTTTATATAACCAAAATCAATACCGTTTAAACCATTTATAATAAATTCATTTTCAATATCATTTAAAAACATAGAAAATAAAAAAGGGGATAAGCATTCCCCCTGTCGTACACCTAAGATACATGTAAATTCATTACTTATCTCATTATTAAGCTTTACATGAGATTTTATATCATTATACATAGATTTAATTATATTAAGCAAACGTCCTCGTATTCCGTATTGTATTAATTTATACCACAAGTTATCTCGTACTACATAGTCAAACGCCTTCCTGAAATCTATAAAAGCGCAATACAATTTGTTACCTGACTCTAAAGTTTTATTTATTAACACATGTAAAACAAAAATGTTGTCCACCGTAGACATATCTTTTCTAAAACCAGCCTGCGCTTCTATGTAAACATTATAATTCTCTGCCCACTTATTTAATCTGTTATTAATGATTCTAGTAAACAATTTTCCCAAAGTGCTTAGCAATGTTATACCTCTATAATTTTCAACATCATTCAAACTACCCTTTTTTATGTAATGGTATAATGTAACCAGTAGCCCATACCTTTGGAAAATACTCTAAGTCTAATATCTGATTAAATATACATTTAATTGACGAATGCAACTGTGGACTACCATATTTAAAAATTTCATTGATATAAAAATCAGGGCCACAACTTTTTCCATTTTTTAATTGTTTGATCGCTACTTCTAACTCAGTATTTGTTATATCATTGTCTAACTCTTGAAACATTACAGTCAATTCACTATTAAGATATTTTTCATTAAATTCTAAAACATCTTCATCAGGGACAAAAAATCTATCATCTGGGTTATTTATTGCTTTAAAATAATCTTCAAAACAATTCAAATTAATGTTTCCAGTTTTAGGTGTACATAACCCCTTAAGCATATTCCAATATGATTTGGCATTCTTATATTTAGCATTTAACAACCGACCAGTCTGTTCTTGTCTATAAATATACTTTGCTTTACGTATTTCAGCCTTATACTCACATCTGGCCTTTACCATTTCTTGTCGATTTACATCGTTTTTATCTAATCTATATGCATTTAATTTTTCATAAAATATATATTTTAGATCACAACACCGTTTCAGTATACCAACTTTTGTTTTCACATCCTTGATAACTAAATATAGGTTCATTTATATTATCATTATTGAAATATTTTTTTAATTCAGGAGAGCAGACATCATCTAAAATATTTGAAAACTCTTCTATACATTCATCAATATCATTCGAATTCGAACAATTGTTTACATTGTGTTGTAAAGTTTCAAACTTTGAAACAGTAACATTTGAATCTAACTTAGTATTAAAAGCATGAATAGTATCCGATTTCCACACGTATTTAAATGGTATTTTGCAAAAATCATCAGCCACATCATTTTCTACAGTTTCATTTGCATTAAAAATAAAACTACTAGTTAATATACAGTGATCCGAAATAATATTTGGATCGTCCACATAAAAATCAAAACAAAAATCAAATAAATTTTCTGAAATAAGAATATAATCAATAACACTGCGACCTCTATTACATACATATGTAAATTTGCCAACATTTTTATCTTGACCACTTATATAAGGAACGGGTGGCACAATGACTGGTGGAACGGGTGGCACAATGACTGGTGGAACGGGTACAATGTCTGGTGCAATAGGTATAGATAATTTAACTTATATTTTATTTACGAATATTTTATTTTCGTTTTATAACTAAAATGTGCAGACAAATTTATTTTGAAAATCGCACAGAATATTAAATTTAGATACACGCCGTCAATAATCGTTCAAACGCCACCCTCTGTTTGATCGAGCGAAAAAAAATTAACTCATCATTGCTGACAAAGGAGTCAAAGGACCTATTATCTGACATTTTTGTTTGTTCGCTACTTGAATAAAAAGAAGACTGCTGACTATTAACACCAATACAAATGTTTCCATCAGTACAATGGATGTTGTTGATAATTAGAATTAACATTATATACACTATAATTAACATCATCAAAGGTGCTGTCTTCATCGATATGAATATTGCTGTTGATTATAATTTTTACATTATACTGTATATACCTATATAATTAGCATCACAGATGTCATTATTGGCACTCTTAATCGTTTGAGATTTCATTATTTCCACGTATACCTAGTATATAATTAATATCATTAAAGATGTCACTTTCAGCGCAAAAAACATGGTTGTCATTGTTGCTAAAACTATCGCTTTTATTGATATGACGATAACTTGCATTCTTGTAATAAGTGTTTGTATATTTCATTCTTGTTATAATTGTTTGTATATTTCATTCTTGTTATAATTGTTTGTATATTTTATTCTTGTTATAATTGTTTGTATATTTCATTCTTGTTATAATTGTTTGTATATTTCATTCTTGTTATAATTGTTTGTATATTTCATTCTCTGTCAGGATGTATGGATAGAATTCCTAATTGCGCTCAGTATGGAAAACAAGTTTGCTCTAATGGTGCTTACCAATCCTGGGTTTCACAAAACTGTGTACAGTTTTGTGCATTATGTTCGCCGCCGGTATTTACATCACGTTAGTATAATACTTTCATGTTTTTTTTTATAATCACTAAATTATTAAAAACTTGGAACGTTGACCCAATATACATAGTTATGAAACCTTTATCTAAAAACGTTGTTGTGAAGTTGTTATTATGAAATTTTGACCCAATCTTTGAATCAATTATTGACTAGTAAGCCATTGAATATGATGTGACAATAACCGGCATAATGTCACATTGACCTGCATTTTGACATGATATTTAACGGCATAATGTCACACTGGCCGCGTCGATACTTTCATTTTGTATGCATTGCGAAACAATGGATATTGAGTTATTGGGACACAGCCCAAGCGTTTAGTGAACATCGTCGAGCAACATGCACGTCCGGTTGAAATCGCGATATAAACTGAAGTTGCAGTAAGATAGCTTGAATCATTGAAATTATTGTTTGCTTTGAGCTTTGTAAATGCATTTAGTTGTGTACGCCGGAAATCGTAAAAATGGCCAATACCATTGTGTAGGAAAATATATAGTAGAAATTTCAATGCCCTTAACCGATAGTACTTCTTTTTTTCACATTTCTTAACTATTGAGCTCTGTCGCTTATTTTATTTAACATATTTAGAAACATAGAAGCATCAGTTTACATGACCAGTATATTTAAAATGTCATTCCAATGTTCAACAATGAACAAATCTTTTCCTTGAAATAAAATATTAAAAATAAATATATGAATAGGGTTTATCCGTAGGCACGTCAGATTTTCCTTGTCCCATCCAATAACTTGAGAAGGAATACGCCTTGGTTTATGTAACTTAAGGACATTGCCTTTGGGCAGTTGATGACTCCTATTGACTTCGAGATCAGTAGGTTAAAACCAACATGGCCTTGATGACAAAAATGTATAGTATCATTAAGCAATTTATGACTCGGTTTCATTGTGATTATGTAAAGTATTGGCGTTAAAGCAGCACATCACCAGAGGTTATTTTATATGACAGTATTTGTATTATTCGGGTAACCACGTAACAGTAGTGAAAACACGAAAAACGCGAGAACCGTGGTTCAGAACGCTGCGAATCCGGACATGTACAAAGAATAAAGGAGAACACATGAACTGTTCTGTTCTGATATTTTTGGTGAATCGTTGAATTTATAATCATATATATGATGATCAGTATTTTGAATTTAAATTAAGCTTGTAATATGATAAGAGCTATACCAGCCTTCACATTAATAAACTTAAAATACGGTTCCGGATTTGATCAATAATTAATGTAGCTAATGACTATTAGTATGCTAAATAGAGTAAATGAAAATAAATTATATTTTTTTACATATTGACATTGAAACTTCGATAAATTTTAGCCCACCTTGTCAGTAGTTTCATCAGAACCAACGACCCATCTTTCTTTGAACACGGTTGAGATCAGAGGTTTCTTTGAATGCATTGACTTTGTAAAGAAGATGCGTTGTCGAACATTTCCAACATTTTCTCTCGCCTTCACATAATTAACATATCTCACCATCACTCACATGTCAGTTTGAATTCAACATTACTCGTCGTCACTCACGCATCACTTATTTATCACAAGGGGGTGATTCGATGCGCGCTCAACCTAGAAGTTCTGATACCGCACCGGTATTTTGAAGAAAAACGAGTCTTGTATACAATCAGAAGAGATTTGAATTGTATTACTTTTGCAGAGAATTCGCGAGATTTTAGTTATTTTAGTTTCGATTATCCGAATGCCTTGACACGCACCTTTCTCTTTCCTGTCAATATTTTGCGTTGAATGTGATTGGATTCTAGATACTGCGTACTTCGGTAATTTATCAACATTCCGCGTTTTTTGAGAAATTGTATTGTCATTGTAAAACTATTTTTTAAAATATTTTTTTAATGAATGTCAACATCAGTAGCGTTTAAGTAACATTGTTTTTCTCCCTTTCCCCCTGAAAGATAAAGAACCCCTGAAAGATAAAGAAACATGTGAAGACAAGATTTCAGATTGCATTGCCTATGGTCGTGAAGTATGTAGTAATTTAGATTACCGTTCCTGGGTAATAGAAAATTGTGGAAATTATTGCGGACTTTGCGCGTTACAGACACAAAACATCATGACGAGTATGTATATGTTGGTTAATTATTACTTTTTTCGTAATTTGAACTTGTATAGTTTTTTCACTGTCAATGAATCTATTTTTAAAGCGGAATTTAATGCATTGACAAAGTACACATCGTTCATGAAAACATAACCTTCTAAAGTTTACTTTGGGACCCAGTGTCACCATGGCTGAATGAAAATAATGACAATTCAGTGAAAGTGATTTAAACCATCGACAGGTTATATGACTAAATGATTTATAATTCTGCCTGTTTGTAACGTCGCTTTCCATTTGAAAATTGTGACGTTTATATAAACTTGAGACACAGCTGCACACAGTTTTTCTCTTTAATAACGGAAGTTAGGTATATTATCAGTTCGTGTTAAAGTCTCGTGATAGATAATATCACTCATATCATTTATCATTTCACACATCTTATGTGTAGGATGCATTTTTTTAGTCTAAGTAATGCTCTTGTTTTAAAGTAATACTCATCTTTATATGCCCGAAAGAATTTTGGGCATATTATGTTATACCCCCTGGCGTCCGTCTGTCCGTCAATCCGTCCGTCAGCAATTTGGTTTCCGGAGCATAAGTTAAGTTTCAATCGGCCAACAATATTCAAACTTCATAGAATGATTGTCCAAATTGGGTAGAAGACCCCTTTTGATTTTGGTGATCACAAGGTCAAAGATTAAGGTCACTATTACCTTAAAACTGAAAACACTTTCCGGAGCATAACTAAATTCCATTTTCGTAAAAAATATTCAAACTTCATAGGCTGATTGTCCATACCAAGTAGAAGACCTCTATTGATTTTTGGGTCACAAGGTCAAAGGTCAAGGTCACAATTACATAAAAACTGAAAACAGTTTCTAGAGCATAACTTGATTTCCATTTGGCTTACAATAATCAAACTTCATAGGATGATTGTCCATATTGGGTAGAAAGACCCCTATGGGAACTTTATTTAATTCACATGTCTTAGAAATGTTTCATCCTTACTAAAATAAATAAATAAATAAATAAATAAATAAAATAAACACTTTCGGGCTTATTTTGCTCCGCCTAGTTGTGCTCTTGTTTAAATTCCCCATTCCTATATTTTGAGGTTAAAGATTGTGACTGTGATATGATGAGTTTTTATATAAATTGATAATATTGAAGTTTGTCTTAAGGTAAAAGCTTTTTATTTTTATCATTTGCTTCAGAATATATTTGTTCTGATATAACTTGAATAATGTCAAAAATGCTGTAATTCTAGTCTATGTTAAAATAATTGAAATCTAACTGTGATAATGTTTAATTGAAAATATTTATTTTCACTGGATAAAGCCTCTATATGTCATGCTACCAACAAAGAAGACCACTTCCTGTACTTTTGATGCATTAAATTCACCATTCTTCAAATTGAGAGCAGCCGTGTATAATATGAGTTATAAAGATTTTTGACAGGTTATATGGTCCTATATTAACGGTTGTTTGGAAATATATCCCGAGACGCTAGGCGAGGGTTATATTGCAAACAATCGTTGATATTCTGTCATGTAACCTGTCAGGAATATTTATAACGAATTTATAATACAACAAACTTCATTTTCTGAGATAAAAGTGGTATTTCTTAGAAAATTGACAGCAGCCGTGTAAATGAAACTATATAAACGTCACCATTATCCAATGAAAACTGACGTTACAAACGTGCAGGAATATTAAAAAAACTATATATACACAAAGAAAAGTGACATAAGAAACGTAAAGTTTTTTTTAATAAATACATATACATTTGAACTTGTTACCTGTTAAATGAGTGATGATTATAAGATAAACCCCCCAAACTAACATTAATATTAACCCATTACTTCATGAGCATTTTGTGAAAAATGGCTGTTTTCATTGAAAAGTCTCCCGTTACAAGTTCAAATTGCTTTAAAACTTTAAAATATGCTTCAATACTTATCAAACTTGGCACAAATGTTGACTGGGCCATTGCCTTTGCAACAACATGCTCAGGCTAAAATTTCCTGTTACCATGGCAACGAGGGGACACCTGCGTTGATTTTTTCCATCAAAATTGACATTTCAAAGTGCTGCAACTTCTCAATGGATTAAGATAGAGTTAAATGCTTTTCAGCGTTGGTTACACGTTACCTTATGATCGATCTTGGGTCATTTTCAGCCCGTCACAAGTCCAAAATTTCTTGGCGATGAGGGGGACTCCGCCCCCCTTCAAACTCCCAAACAGAAGGGGGCACATCCCCCTTCTGGCAACCCTCTGATGTATCTTTTGGTTGGGGGCCACGCCGCAAAAAGTAGTCACTTTTTTAAAAAGCATTTCATGAAACAAAAACAAGTGTTGGGGGCCTAAATAAGGCATTTTTTCACCATTTGAGACACCAAAAAGGGGGGGGGGGAGGCGTTAAACGCGTATATATCGCGTAATGGGTTAATCTTTTTACCAGATAATAAGGATCGTACATACCTTTACATGTTTATCAGTTTATGCAAGAAAATAACATATATCTTACTTAACAGATGATAAGATCGAACATACCTTGACATGTTTATCAGTTTATGTCTAGAGAACTTACAGATATCTTATTTAACATATAATTAGATCGTACATACTTTGTCATGTTTATCAGTTTATGAAAAAAAAAAAAAAAAAAAAAAAAAAAAAAAAAAAAAAACAAAAACAAAACGTATTTCCTACTGAAATTAAAATGGGGAAACATACATTTACATGTTCATCAGTTTATGTCTAGAGAACTAACATAATATAAAAAGATATAACATACCTCGACATGTTTATGAGTTTATATCTTATTTAACAGATAAAAAGATCAAACATACCCCGACATGTTTATCAATTTATATCTTATTTAACAGATAAAAATATCGAACATACCTCGACATGTTTATCAGTTTATGTCTTATTTTACATATAAAAACAATCGAACATACCTCGACATGTTTATCAGTTTATGTCTTATTTTACAGATAAAAAGATCGAACATACCTCGACATATTTATCAGTTTATGTCTTATTTTACAGATAAAAATATCGAACATACCTCGACATGTTTATCAGTTTATGTCTTATTTTAAAGATAAAAAGATCGAACATACCTCGACATATTTATCAGTTTATGTCTTATTTTACAGATAAAAAGATCGAACATGCCTCGACATGTTTATCAGTTTATGTCTTATTTTACAGATAAAAAGATCGAACATACCTCGACATGTTTATCAGTTTATGTCTTATTTTACAGATAATAAGATCGAACATACCAGAGATACATTTTTAGAGACATGGATATGGACAAACTTCACTGTTGGGTACGTTTGACACTATCTTGTCTGCTATACATTTTTTGTGTGTTTGTTTAATTGGGTTTTACGTCACACCGACACAGTATAGGTCTTATGGTTCATTCCAGCTCTACTGGTGGAAGAAGTATGCATTTTTAAGATTTAGGCAACATAAAATTGTAATATGTATAGAAAAACCTAAAGCTGGCAGTTTTTTTAATTAGAAACATAGAAGAGCATCTGATATGTAAAATGTCTTTTTAAAACTTAAGTCTCCATTAACTCCATAAAATTGTCTATTTCTCTCTCTTTTTTTTTGGCAATTGTCAACGTACTCTATAGATCTCATTTTAGATTTGATCTACTGAATGTCCCTTTAACAAATTACAAAACGATTAATGTAATAATTAATTTGTTTGATATTTTCACAGACCAGGTGGGAGCAAAACTTTAACATACACTGTGCCAGATACAATCACTTCATGGTACACAACGGCGTTCTCTGTTAATACACAGTCTGGACTAGGCGTAACTGACGGACCTGCAAAGGTATGAATAAAATAATTATAGTATGTTGGTATACAATCTGGGCTAGGAAAGTGCAATCAAAATCTACATTTAGCATAGTCTTATAACTTTAATCATACTGTTATACAACTATTTCAGTGTCACATCAAAAAGCGTATGTAATATACTGCAACATTTTTAGTTTACATATATGGTATACATTCCAGAAATTAAAATTTCTTTTAAAAGTATTTCCCTAATTTATTAAACTGCAAATGCAACGTTCTTTTTGATGGTAAACTGCTACTGATTACCTCCTTTTTTATTGTAAACTGCTATGTTTATCTCCTTTTTTATCATAAACTGCTTCTGTTTACCTTCTTTTTGATCATTTTAAGACACGTAAAAATAAATAATTTTATGTATAAGAGGAACAGAAAAGAAAGACATGGAGAATAATTTGTTTATTACATATACATAATATTTTGAAAATATTTTAGTTGACGACGTTTCGACCATTCTTTATTAGCCTCAATCTCCCCTACTCTGTTGTGCGTGGAGAAGAAGTTGTTATTCAGGCAAATGTATTTAACTACATGGGTCAAGACTTAGACGTAAGTTTGCACGTTTATTTTGCTTTTATTACATACATACATAATAAATGGCAAGCCACTTTGCTGAGATCCTTTGTTGACACCCTTGCAAAATTGCAATAAGTATGTTCAAATATACGATTATGTGCAATCCTGTGCAAAAGTACATTACTGTTGACCCTTGGTGACCTTTTGTTAACGAAATGACGTTACGAAGTATGTTTGTTTTATCATGACGCGGCTCAAATTTTGTACCTGTTAGTGGTGTAAAGTGACTTGGTAGCATACATTGACAAGCTCGAAAAACACTTACCAGATTGCATTGAATACCACTAGTAAATCTCCTTGTCGGTTTTAGGTGGTTGTGACTTTGGAGAAATCAGATGACTTTAAAGCAATAGATCATGACAGCCCAGGCCACACAGTGTTTGTTTCTAAAGATATCACAAAAACAATACACGTGAGTACAATTTTCGCGTCTCAATTCATATTATGAAAATAATATGCTTACTGTATGATCTATTTTAATTATTATGCATACGATTGTTAGTAAAAAGTACTTGTAGTATATATAGTTTTAAATTCACACATACAGACGTACAAACATGCATGCCCGCGCGCGCGCGCGCACACACACACACAGCAAACATTAACATTTGCTCGTCTTACCTCAGTGCTAAAAAGATCATGCATTAATTGGTTATCATAATAAGGAAACAATTTAAGAAATATCATTGCATGCAAGAGCAATAAATCTTTGTCAAACATGACTCTTAAAATTCAAATGAATATCTTTATTGTTGTGGCAAATCCTGACCGGAGAAATTCAAGTAATAAGATGGTTATAATAATAAGTAATAAGATGGTTATAATAATTAGCAAAAACCAATGCCTGACTATGATGTTTAAAAGTGTGGTAAAGACTTTTTTGTGGAATTTTTAGCAAATTATTGTATACACTGTCAATCAAGGATTTTCATGCTAAGAGCAAAGTATGACAAAAGTTTGAATTATCAAAATTATACCCATTAAGCAATAGAGTAATGGTTATTCGTACATACACGCACTTAAAAAAAGGTAAATTAAAGGACGACCGGATAGCTTAAGTTATGTTTGTGTAAACTTGTACTGCACTGTCTTTATAGGGTCATAATTTTTCATTCTATTTATTAGTTTCTGTAATCATATTTTATACAAGGCTTAGATTTGTTAATATATAGATTTCAATGTCTGTTACTTGTCTGAATATAATATAAGCATACGTCTTTTTATAATTCTTACGTTTTAATGTGAAAAAAAACACAAATCTAAAATTTGTTTAGAATTAATTATATCTATGTCACAAATTATCAGTAGAATTTAAGTATGTCAATAATGAGCAAACTCATATGTCAAATATTCTACAACAGTTACAGTGATATGACTGTGTATTAGAATTATGTGACATATAGTTCGTGTGTTTTTGAATGTGTCCATGACTGTGTGTGCGCGCGAGCGTGCGCGTACATATGTCTATCTTTACTATCATTTAACAAAGTGTGTATTTAACAGATTGAAGCTGGTCAAGCGGAATCTGTTTTTATACCAGTCGTTGCCAACATCATTGGAGCAGCTAAAGTAGCCGTGAAAGCCCAGTCAGTTCTATCAGGCGATAGAGTGATTAAGGACCTGATTGTTGTAGCTGAGGGGACACCCATGCACTTCAACATACCCGTAATACTAAATGAACATACATCCACTGATATTCCGTTAAGTTTCCCGCCAAGTTTTGTAGCTGACTCTCAGAAAGTACAAATTTCAGTTATTGGTAAATACTTAGATTTTTTTATTTCTTTCACTAAAACGTGCTGTACTCAAGTTTGACTGGCAACACTAGTTGTGTTACCACTATTAGTGTTTACAAATAGATCAATAATTGAAAATTAACATTAAACTATTGTAGACATAATTATATACACCTATTTTACTGAAATTCAACACAGACTTGTAGAATATATTTTTATTCAGCTTATTAAATACATTTAGTATTGAATCAACATTCATAATATATCCTTTATTTTTAAGAGTGAATTTATTTTGAAAATGCTTTGCTAATATTGTAGGTGATACAATGGGACCGACCTTGAAGAATCTGAAGAAACTTCTGCGCATGCCCACCGGATGTGGAGAGCAAACAATGACAAGCCTGGCACCCGATGTCTTCGTTTATAATTATCTCAGGAAAACAGGCCAACTTACACAAGCACTTGAATCAAGAATCCTTGAATATGTAATGAAAGGTTATTATATTATTGTATTCTTTACCTCAGTAAATATTTTTAGCTCCTCCAAATAAAACGGAGAGGATATATAACCGCCGAATCGACCTACCGTAGTTTTGTACTTCCTAACGCACGTTCCTCCAGGTTTTCCTAGGAACTTCATTTTGCGAACAATATCTTTCATTTTGAAAGGTCGATACCTTGCATTGTCTTTTATTGATTGAAAGAAGCTTGGGTCAAGGTCACTTTTGCTTTAGGCTAAAATGTTCTTGCTACTTTGCCTGCACAGCGTTAAATTTAATGCGTTATGTAATTGCCAAGTATATATGCCTTGGTTGGTCCTCTAATTTAAAGTAGAATCCAGAGACGCTGGGAACAATTACAGTTGATTGTCATCAGACATTGCTAAAATTTACTTTTTTCATTTGACGTAAATAGGACTGTTATAATATATTTTTGCTCACACATCCTTCATTTATTTTCTGATGATTTTGTCTTCATGTTTCATATACTGCTCAACGTTTGCTATATACACCAACTTTTAAGCACTTTATAATAAAAACTATAAAATGATTCAATTACTTATTTTGCATTTAGCAATATTTTGAGATTGCCTCTAGGCCCAATTTTAAATGCAAGTTGTTTTATTGGGTAGTTTTCACAACCTTGTTGTCCGATATTACAAACAGATGGTCGTTCAAAGGTCAGACCTGTTTACATTGGTGAGGGATTGTGGAGCAAGTGGTGCAACAACAATGCATCTTCGTAATGAACTTCTTGATACATCTCGGGTCATTATTTGTACTCAGACACTGTGCAATAGGTTGCATGAGGGCAATCAGCGATCACGTTTTTAAAACACCCGGTATCATAATTTTATTGCGACGTCAAAGTCAGGACCGTTTGAAAATAAATGGCGAGTGAGCATGTAAGGTGGACATGTGGTCTTTACTTATGAGTCTAGGGTTTGCATAGCCTTTCCTGACAGACGTTGGATAATATAATGAAGATATGGTCCAAAAATATTGTTGAACACAACGGTAACAGGCTGGATCAGTAATTGGGTTGGAGGGACCAGCTGTACTTTGCTGTAGGAGGTGTAGGAGGGCCTTTTTCTCCTGTAACACATAACTAATCAGTAACATTTGTACGACGGTATTCAAATCATTGTCGAAAATATTCAAACTAAAACAGTTGGTGCATAGCAAAGGTTGAGTAGTATATTTGAAAGATAGAAAACTTAAGTGAAGTGGTCCTCTTTTTCAAGGTCAAATTGACCGGTTCATTATCTGAAATTTGATCGGAAGATATAATTATGTGAATATAAGAGTTACGATGTTTTTTTTTCTTTTTCCATGTATCAGTTTAATAAACAGATATCTACGAACTTACATAAAAAAAGATGCCTTAAATTTTGTTGCCCACGGTGTCTCTTCTAATTGTTTTATTCTCTAGAAATATTGCTGTTAATAAAAAGTAAACAAATTGTACAATCAAGTTAGTATTATAATATCTTAGATAAGTTGCGTTTATATTTTAAACGTAATTCTTTCTTCAACTCTCTGGACCAAATGAGACAGACAAATAATAATCATTTTGTAATTAAAGGCTACCAGCGAGAGCTGACTTTCCAGCGATCAGATGGATCATTTAGTATATGGGGACAACAAGACACAGTTGGAAGCATGTGGTAAACTTATTTTTATTTAAACCGATTAAACACTAGATTTTATCAGTGAGATAACACATAAATAACTAACTTATCTGTCACTTTCATTTCAGCCATGTCATTCCTGCGCAATGCAAAACTTATCTGTTTGATATGAAATGGAGTGTTTTTACTTTATCAGTTGGTTTCTATGTTGTTCAAGTTAAAGAGAAGGGAAAAGCTGCCCATCTCCACTCACAGGTTCACTGACGCTTTTGTCCACTTTGAATGTGCGACAGGCGCATTTTGTCTGTCTTGTTGATTTATCGCTTTTTTGTTTGTTGGGGCTTTTGTTCGCCATGAATATTTTGTGATAGCACTTCGTTTTTTTGTCCGAGGGTTTTGTCAGTTTTGTCTATTAAACCGGGGTCATTCGCCTTGTAGATATTACAGTGGCTTTCTTCCGTCCCTCTAAAATAACGTGACAGTGTTTTTTTCTCCCTTCAAATGTTACTGTCATCATTACAAGCGAAATATTTACTATACTGTTGATTTCATAAGTTTTTAGTCGTTGGTCAACAAATGTTTAAGTTAAAATAAAGCGCAAAAAGTTTGTTTTGAGTAATAGAAAATAGTTTTCTAGGGGACAGAGTAGGAGGATGCTCGGTTCATCGTTTTAAGATACTTGGGTATATGACAAATATGATGTTTTAGGATTGAAAATTATTCTATGGAAAATATTTACGAATACATTACAACAACTGTAATATTTGCAGGCTGACGGCATTTGTTTTGAAATCGTTCCATCAAGCGAAAGGATATGTTTATGTTTCACAGGACGTGTTGAATAAAGCAACTAACTGGATCATGCGCTATCAAAACACTGATGGCTCTTTCAAGGCGGTCGGCTCTGTACATAGTACATCATTGCAGGTACTTGTAAATATGTATATTATAGACACCGTTATTGTTTGATTGTATAAACCTGTCAATGAACCTTTCCGAGCTTTTGTAGCGAAACATTTAGCCACACCCTTTCCATACATTGCTAGGTCAACTGCTCACAAATAGTATCACAAACATAAGCACGTGTTTTTTTATTGTGCAAACCAGGTCAACTAGTTACTATGTATTATCTCAGTGTAGCGATTGGATAACAAGTTAGCCAATTTGCATAAAACTGTAAACACCGAAAAGGCCCATTGCATTCTGATAATACCGTCAAGCACACAATATCTTAATATCCGATATATTGCGAAATATGGAAAACTGGGTTGATATTTTCTAAGTTTGATCGAATATCTAAATGAGTGCTATAATGTATTCATAATTGACAGGTCAATAAGATCAGACTATAATAGTACACTAGTGCGTCAAAACAAGAACGTATATAATGAATCTAATAAACAGTTTATTTAGAAAATCTCTATATGTACGTCTGTACATATATATTAATACCAGTGTACGTAGTTTGTTAATCCCTGAAGATACATGCATATGACTTATTTGAACTAGTTTTCACATTTCATTATTGTAGTTATTCGTGAACACAGTGCAATACTTCATGATTCTGTATTGGATTTCTTAGTTTTGAAATGCAAGATGCAACTATAGTCACCATTGTGGTTAATTTATATGTATTAATTTTAAGTTATTCTTGTTTCGAAAAATATGGCATTAACCTTTTACAACATGAGCGTATTGTTAAAAATGACTGTTTTTATTAAAAAGCCTCCAGTTACAAGTTCAAACTGATATGAAACTATGAAAAATGCTTTAAGTCTGATCAAACTCTTGAAACAAATATTGACTGGACCATAGCCTTTGTAGCAGCATGCTCAATTTTAAATTTCCTGTTCCTGATTCGAAAGTGCTGCAACTTCTCACACTCCACGATATAGAAAGCATGTTTCGGTTCTTTATGGCATATACTGTATAGCAGCCATACTAATCAGATTTCGAGGAGTGTATTTGCGTCTTTGGATTAAAACGGTTTCGCACATTATGTATGAAATATGTATTGTGAACATTTTGTCTTGTACAGGGTGGTTCACGGTCCAGATATAGTCTTACTGCATTTGTTTTGATTGCGCTTGCTGAAGTACGTAATTCACCACAGGTAAGACAGTATAAATTGTGTTAATTTATTTCTATTTCTGAAATTGATTTATTCATCTTTTATTGATTGTTTTGTTAATATAAACAGAAACAACATATTTTCAAAATAATAAATGGCAAACGGGTTTGATCCAAGTTCTTTCAATCTGGCGACCGGCCCTTCCCAAACAGTATCTATATTTTAATTTTTTAAGTAACAACGAATTGCAATGTTTACTTATTTTACTAAGTCACATGTTTAGAAATTATAAATGTTTTACCTGACAAAACACTCAACTCAGCTCTAAATCGTACGTTATATTTTGTGTACAGTAACTGAATTCAATTATGTATAGCGGCATTTTATCAGCAAACAAGCATCTACGTTGATGCAAGGGAATATAAAATCTAAATACCGCAAATTATTTACTTTCATATTGTACACTGTTTTTAAATAGAATTTAGACAGCAACTTCCATAAAAGTATTGTAACAGCAAGGCGATTCCTAGAGAGAGCAGTTTACAATGACAACGTCACCGACATCTATGATCTTGCAATTGTCAGCTACGCACTCAGCAGAACCGGAAGTGTAAGGTCATACGTGACTTACAAAAGGCTAGAAAGACTTGCAACTAGGACTAGAGGTTTTTGTACTTTCAAGTATCACGATTTGTTATAATCCCTCTATTCAAAGTTTGACGGGGGACAGGAAGGGATTCTTTACCGCCCAGGACTAGAACACGGAGGTCTTGAAATACTGGTCCTCGCCTCTTCAAACTGAACTACCTTGCCGCTTTCACATCGTCACCCAATTAGTGAACACTTTGAATTAGTGCATGACATTTCAAGTGAATACTGTAGGGAATCATATGACTTTTGAGGTTACGCGTACTTTAGCATGGCGACCATAATCACAAATGGCGAAACTTTTCACTTCAAGCAAAGCATGCATGTTTATTGTCATATGCGGACGCCATACGAAAAGGGTTAACAATCTTAAAATTATTTCATGCAAAGTTATGACCCTTTTCCAAATAAGATATAATTCGTTAAGAACCATTTTCTCAAAAATGTTAGCAAAATTATTTACCTTAAACTTGATACACATGTTCGCTTTCAATATACATGTTTGTTACCATTTCAGAAGGAAATTCCTGCATTTGTTTGTATAAGTTTTCTGTTTCTTAGATCAATTTTTCAAAAAACTGTTATTTTCTTGGAAAAGTTCAATTTGTAAATAAAAATGCAGTTTTATAGGATAGGTCACTAATGCTTTTTTCTATTTCGATAATGTCCCCGTTTTGACCTTGAATGCTTGGTTACTTCATTTGTCAAGGTAAATTTCAAGTTTTAAAGATATTTACTTTCAACATGGATTAGTTGTTTACTACTTAATTAGAAATGCATTTTTAGTTGCCATTAGTCCTTAAAGAACATTTTCCTTTTCTGACTTGGAATATTTTGTTTTTTTTCCTCAAAAAAAAAACCGTAAAAGAAATCACTTCAACCAAAAATATTTTGTTGACTTTTAATTAAGGGCGGGTAATTTAACTAAAACTGTTTGCAGAAATATATCCTATTTTATATCCAACTATCCTAAGAAAAGTTGTAAAGATCTTGTCCGTCTTGTTTTCTTTTGATATTGAAGTTACTAACACATCAAATGTAATGATAAATATACAGCTGGACAACTTCAAAACTTAAGATCTGCAGGTTTGTTGAGAGTTAAGCACAATGATTCATTGTATTTTTCAGAATTTAAAATGTACTGGAATCTGACCAAAACACCTCATCAAAGTAGTTGGGAATACAACTATTATCAGAGTCCTCCGTTAGAGGTTGAGGTAGCGTCATATGCTTTGTTGTACCTCATTGACAGTAGGCAACTATCAACAGGATATCCAATTATGAGATGGTTGGTTTCCCAGAGAAATTCACTCGGAGGCTTCCGGTCAACTCAGGTTAATATGATAATTATAAACTTTGACATTATGGCAAGCGATTTCTCTTCAGTATGTCGTCACCTTAGTGCAATAACGTAATAAGTGCTTCTATATTTTAAAGTAGTTATTTAGTTATTGCACTAAGGTGACAACTGGTGTCAAAGTCATTTTTATAAAGAAGGAATAGTTATACTGTAGAACAATTTTCCTTTTAAAATACAAATAAATTAATGTTTTTTCATATGATTTTATTATTTTTTTAAGCTCGATAATCTTTTATCATTGAGGAATGAATGCTTGGTTTATCGAATACAAGTATAAACACTAAAGAATCAGATTTCATTTTAAGTTATAACCAATTCAGGGATAAATTTATGAAATTTTACTAAAAGAATTAAGAAACTAAGTGCACCTGTAATGTTACATGGGATAAAATAGAACAGCAAGAATGAAAAATGTTATACCATCGCTTGAAAACTGGCCTTTCTAATCTTCTTTATTGGTCTTTTCTTTGAAATTTTAGAATGTGAATATATCTTAAAGGTGCTAATGATATATAATAGATATTTTGCCATTTCAAGTAAAATATTTTAAAGTTTTGATACGACGAAGGCTGTACGCCTGCTAGATAAATTTCTTATAATCTTATAATGAAGATATCAACTAATTCTGCAATCACAACTTTCACTTCTTGATTTGAATGAAGGTAGAACACCCCTAATACATCTTACACTTTCGAAATACTGTTAATTGCATTGATACTGAAGAGGGCCGTGTGTTAAACTCTGGGAAGTGTTAACATTACACATTAACATTAACGTGTATCTTTCAAGATCCTTTATGAAAAGAAAATATATGTTATATATGATATAAAGTATATTTTTGTTAGAGATATTTATTGCTACAATGAATAAAAAATATAGTTCCTGATATATTTGCAATAAAATCAAAACTACACGAAAAATATAGCCAATATTTTGCAAGATCATGCAATTAACTTTTAAAAACAAAACCGAATTTGGAGGATTTTAGTGATATTTTAATACGGCACTCAAAACAGCAAAATTGCTTGACAATTATTAAATATGGTTGGGGTAGGGTAATATTTATATACGTACATGGATTTCACATACATGTATTGTGAGCAGAAACAATCATTTGAATGGTTTGATATCTGAATGGTGGTATTTGTTGCTTAACAACATATTTTTTCATTAAGAAAAGATATTTAACATTATTAAGAGTGTCCTTGATTTTGAACAGAGCCAATCGGATATCCAATTTTAAGATCCGTTTGTAACAATCTGGTCAATTTTGTTTTAATTTTGCTGTCCTTCAAGGCATGTAGCTGATATTTGGTGTTTACAGCTGTTCAATTCTTTATAGTGCCCTAAGTCATACCTTAAATTATTGAATTGAATATAATTTGATAAATGGCACATTCCATGCCTCATTTTATAAAATACATTATTACATATATTCTACAATACGATAACGCTAAGGCAAGTATGTCATCACTTTGCCAACGAAACATTATGGTTATATATATTCGGGTGAATGATTTGATTCAATACAGATTTTTTTACATTTCAGGACACAGTTCTTGGACTTCAAGCGATGTCTGAGTATGGGGCTTTGTTTAAAGATAGCCTTGACCTTAACATTGCTGTGTCGTCAGACGGCTTTGTCCAACAAGTTCATATTGAGCAAGCAGATGCAATGGTGCTGAAACTGATTGATGTAAGTTAAATATTCTATACAACATCTGGAGTGGAAAACCTTTTTGTCGTACAATGATATTTGATGTAACGGAGATCTTGAGATGTTAAATTTATTTTGAAGCCTTTCTTTAATGAAAAAAGATAATGTTGTTATAAAGAGGTTATTCTTATACCGTAGGCCAATTTGTAATATATCCTTTAGAACTTTTATTTTCAAGGATTTAACTTTCCAAGATAATATAATACCGCCTCGCATAGCACGTTACAACTGTTCAAATACTTGTTTAATGTATCATATTGTTATATACATTTAAGTTGTAAAGTAAAACTAGTCATTTGTATTTATATGCTGACAAGTCTTATATATTTTTTGAAAACATTCTATCCATTTCGACATTGATATGAAATTGCAAATTTGCAATTATGATTTTCATTTGATAGTCGTGCTGTTATATAATCTTTATACACGGCTCCTGCAAGTTTATGATATGATTTTCGTTTTTTTATATAAAGTTAGTCTCCTGCATTAATAATTCGGCTCGGGTAGAATAAGCTTTTAATCGTTTATACTGAGCCGAAGCCTGTCAGACATCATTACAACTTAATATTTATGATGAAGGCTATTGAATAGCCGTATTGAAGGTATTATCCAGTATTTATAGCTGAATTTTGTGTTTTCTTAGATACCACACTCTGCAATTTTGCGGGGTAACAATAGCGGTAACCACGTCCCGGCTGTAACCCTTACTGCAAACGGAAGAGGTTCAGTATTAGTTCAAGTGAGTATTTATGGAACGGCAGCCGTCATCAGGTCGTGTGAAGTCGCCATATCTCGTCATTTTTCGACATTTTAAAAATTATATTTTCAGTTTATTTCTAATTTGGTACAGAATATTTTATAGCTTTACAAAATGTATGCTAAGTATTATCAAGTTTACCTCGCAAATATTTACTTAGTGTTTGCAGTCTGATGTGGTTTCAGTGCCAGTAACTTTTAACTGACTTTTGTGCTCTGTCGTAAAGTTTCTGGCTTGTTGTAGTCATAATCTTATATATGATAATTTTATTATCTTAACCGGTATCTTAATTTATACCATATTCCATAATTTCATTAATTCTTAAATTAATTCTGAAATGATATTATAATTTGTCAAATCTTTAATACATATATTGTATATTTATGGTTATTTTGAGCTATGATGTTGCGAAAAATAAAGAGTATCAAACTGTTTTTTGGTTTGCAAATTCTAATGCATTATCCCTCAGCATGTTCGGGGTACTTTGATAAAAAAGATCAAGTTGTAGACATAAAGAAAATTGACCATAACATTTTTGATTTGTAGGTTTCCGTTACCTTTAATGTTGAGAGTGAGGTTTCGCTTCCAGCCTTTAATATAACTTACAACATTTTCGAAGAAACTATTCGATCAATGGTCATCCGTGCCTGCGCAAGGTAAGTTTCTAACAATGAAATCGCAGAAGGTCAGTAACGTGTCCGCTGTTATTCTAAGTAAGTTAATTTATGCACACAGCAGATTCATAATAAAAAAGTTAATAGACAGTTTTCTGCCACTGGTGACTAGAATGAATTTATATATGTTCATCGTCATGTTAACGTCAAAGTTGTATACATTTACAATAAGCGTTGATCATGCTTGCGTATGTGCGCGAGCGGGCGTATTAAGTTCATACAGCCTTTGCATTCCTCATTCACTTTCACATAAGGCATATATATGTATTTAGATATTTACCGCAACGATTTACAAGTGCTGGTATGGCCGTTATGGAAATAGATATTCCATCCGGTTTCTCCGCTGACCTTGAAAGTTCAAAAACCAAACTTGATAATGCCAAGAAAACTGAAATAAGGGACGAAAAAACAGTAGTTTTATACTACGATGAGGTAAGAGTACACATTTACCACTATTCTCATTATTAATTAACCCCTTTCACTTTTACCACTATCCTGGTTAACCGTGTAGAACATGGTAACATGAACGTCCGTGCAATCTAGCCACGTATTCACACACAAGATAAACTATTGGTATCAAATTTTGTATTTCAAAATTTTTATTTGTTCACAAGTGACTGAAAAGTGGTCTTGAAATGGCGTAAAATGTTAAAAGTTTTTGTGAAAAATGAAAAGAAAACCAAGAAACACAATCAGTATAATTTGATATTGATGCTTTTCTTGTGAAAACAGAATCTCATTCGATCAATTCTTAAAAATTTGAGATAAGATTGAAATCCAAGAAACTGAATCCAAAGCAATCCCTTTGATTACAAGTGACCGAGGTCATCAGGCGATGGTTAAATACTATATAAGAAACAAACTTTTATTCACAGCCAAATAGCCCGTTCAATGTCCTTAATTAGAAGCATATTATTGTATGTTTCCTTTATATATTGATATGAATTGCCAACGTGTAGTTACGTATTTATAAGACTGTTCTGTTTTCCAGATTTTGCCGACATATCCAAGTACATGTGCCAACTTGGAACTATTAAGGACGGATCTAGTTGCAAAGACAAAACCGGCGGCCATCCGGGTGTTTGATTATTATAAACCAGGTTCATCGAATGTTTCCAAATTATTAATAATTAAAAGAAATTATAACCTAAGTTACCGGGCTAAACTTTTTGTGTATGCTAAAGATTTGCCGATGATAATTGACATTAATTTCCATTGAAGCATATTTGTCAGTTTTGTATCAGTATGGGTTATTATTATAGTGATACATGCATACATAACTCTTTTATTTATGCGTATTACTTTTCAAAATTGTCTTTAATTATTTATTCAGCAGCATAAATAAATTTTATAATGTTTTGGTTTGTTATGTCAAGTAGATCAGTGAGAAAGACAAATCTATCAGCGTTATCAGGATCAATGTAGTTATGTCAAGTAGATCAGTGAGAAAGACAAATCTATCAGATCTATCAGGATCAATGTAGTTATGTCAAGTAGATCAATGAGCAAGACAAATCTATCAGCGCTATCAGGATCAATGTAGTTATGTCAAGTAGATCAATGAGCAAGACAAATCTATCAGCGTTATCAGGATCAATGTAGTTATATCAAGTAGATCAATGAGCAAGACAAATCTATTAGATCTATCAGGATCAATGAAGTAAAATTTAGCCTGTGATGAAACGTATCTGCTGTTATTTCAAAATTCCAAATTTCACAATTACCATGATTAAATGTTGAATTCTGCTTAAGCAGGTGCAAGGAGGTTTCGACAGTTAATTGCACATTCTATTAACGTCCATGAACAGGCTCAATCAAATCGAGCCTGCAACATTTTTCGATTTTGTCATTTTGTGCGTTTCTAATGAATTCTTTATTGCTCCTTATTTCATCAAATATTCTTAATAAAATGTCAAACTTGTGTGCGTGCGTGCGTTGGTGCGTGCGTCTGTGTGAAACCGTTGATTTAATCAGCTATTTAGAAATAGTATTTCCTTTTCATTTTACTAACTATGGGTATTGTTGACCGGAAAATTTTCATGATGACACTTTTCAAAATATCAATATTTTTCCCTTTTTTAGGGAGCAAAAAGTGTGGTGTCTTTCATTTAGCTTGCTCAATAGTTTTGTTTCTGATAAAAGTGTGTTGTTCCTTTAATACAACTTACCGTCTGTACTAATTTATTGAGTTCAACGAGTTTAGGTTAAGTTTTAATGTATATATTTTTTCACTTAACCTTTGAAATAGTATATCATCTATAAGTGTCATGTATATTTTATTTATTTTGCTTTCAGAAAACCGAGCTTTAGCATTCTATCAATCCACCCTTCTGAAAGACACTTCTGTTTGTGACGTGTGCAGTACTTGCGGCTGTATCTGAACCTCTTTTACTAATAAAAATAGCATGATGTCATGGCAATGTAAACTCAGCAACACCAAAGTTCTATTTCTTTTAGTTTGTTTGTTTTGTTGAGAAAGTTCCTTCGTAGAATAATAAACGTTCCATACTTATTTTCTTTCAAATATTGTCTTTTTATTTCAAACTTAGAAAGAAAGCGTAAAAACAAACACGTTTTTGGTGTGAAATAACACAGTTATTAATGCATCCATTTAAGCACGTTGAAAGTTGATACAACACTTCAGAAGCTAAGTATTAATATAGTATTTCATTACTTATCGATCAAGAATGAATTTACTTTGCTTTTTGTATTTTTGTAAAAGTGTTTGTAATGTCCCAGGGCTAACTAGTGTCACTAAAGTAAATGAAATGTAAAATAATACTTTCACAAAATGATTAAGGGTTTCACTATAAAAAATGAATAATGAATCGAGCCGTAATAACTTACGAATTACATTTTACATATCCTTCGTCTAGAAACACATTAATTCTGTTTGTTTGTTTCGGCTTTTCATCACACCGATACAGTATATGTCATATGGCGACGTTCCAGCTTTACTGGTAGAGGAAGACCTCGAGTGCTATTCCATGCCTTATTTCAGGCACGAACGGGCACCTGAGTAGAACTACCGTCGTCCTGTAAGTTAGCTGGATAGCTTCCCACATGAAAGAATAATAAGTCCCTGTCGGAATTTGAACTCAAAGTGGTGAGAGGCAAATGGTTTGAAGTCAACGACCTAAATTATTCGGCCACGTAAGCCTCTTTAGCAACAAAATAATACAACAAAATATGATTAATTCATCAAAAGGATCGGAACCATCGGTAACGTGAGCTAAATCTGACATATTCGTGAAATGGCAAAATATGAACTTCTAATTGCATTATAATGGAACCTTGGTTACAAAACAACACTAAATAATTAAATTAGAATGGGCAAACAAAATCATTAATTGCAAACTATTGAATCACGTGAAATACGTTGCTGAATTTCAAATGCATTATTCATTGATCAGTGACACCTAAATTGTTTTTATTATTTATTGAAACACTAGAGGCGCATTTCAGTTAATGCAGACATACCAACAGCTCAACAATTATAAATACTGGTTGAATGTCTGATAAGGTCCACACTTTTCATTCTCTGTTTAAACTTTGTCGGTAATAAGTGTTTAATTTTAACATAAGATAATGATTGTGCATGCAGGAGTAGCGATTATGCTTGTAGTTTTATTTCAATCAGTTTACTCAAGCACCTGTAAACAATTTCAACCAAGGAAGGACAATCTAAACATAGCCTTAATTGGTCATTCTGTGATGGACATTAATGAAACAAACCATCATGAATGTGCTAAGACATGTATGTCATTGAAAATATGTAAATCTATTGACTATGACAGAACGAAGAAAGCATGTAAATTGAACGATATTGACCGGTCTTCGGTTGACCAATTGGAGTTTAAAACCAAAAAGGGATCAATTTTCTCGGATATCAGCGAATGGCCTAGCGTAAGTTTATCTTTGTTTTTTAGAAGAAGCGTTTTTCAACAATGCAGCAAAACAAACAAACGTATAGAAATCCAAAATCACACTATTTATTGACACGACAAAAAATACTGTTACTATTTTGGTACAAATAACGTCTTGAATAAGCATTATTTGCAATTGAAGTGCATAAAAGAAATAGAGGATATTTTGTTTTGTAAAATAAAATTTTATTTCATTGAGTGAGCTGTAAAACCAGTAATTTAACAAAATTTAATTTCACATAATACTGTTTTTAAAGTTCACGAGGTGAAATGAAATAACATCTTTCACAACAAACAAACAAATTGTCTTTTCATTTTATGCTTAAATACATTTTCAATGAAATTGCCTTAATATTATCTGGATAATCAATCTGTTTCTCCACTGGTAGCCCCCAATTTCTCATGAAACATGAAGTCTTGAGCTAAACATAAATTCAACAATCAACGTTTAATGGTGACGGTATTATCTATTTTTATTACAAAATAATATAAATGATTCCTCGTTTTAAGAATAAAAACAAACAATTCTAGTAAAAGAAAAAAGTCGCACTATTTCCGTTATTTTTGGCGCAAGTTTCTGTTAGGTCGGGTTTCGCCACCATTTTAAAAGTTGTGTATTTCGCGGGAAGAAAATAACTGTGTTTGGCATTTTAGTAATACATCTTTTAATATGAAAGAAAAAGTATTTGGGGATTGTTACAGGCAATAAATAACTGTTGACATATGTAATAATCAAAAAAGCGGCTAGGAATTTTGAATAGATGGAATTGAAGAAACGATGTGTTACGAACGGGCTGGGTTGTTAACTTCCAAAGACTTCGGGCTTGTGACCGTCAATGTTTTTCATATTGAATTAGGGGGATACTTAAATATATATTCATATACTTTAAAATGTTACAAAGAAAGTTTTACATGTGTAAGGAAGTGTATTATTATACAGTAAAATTGTAACAATGTCAGAATTGTAAGCAAAATTAAAACTAGGGTACAACATGGGGAAATTCGTTTCAAAAAGTCTCGTCATTAAAAAGTGTGAAATTATATATTGATAATTTTCACTGTGAAATTTTCAAATATAATTTTCACGGATAAATCAGTTATCCACTCAAGAGCATAAAATAGATAGAATTCAGAGAGAATATGACAAATTAAAATATAAATTGACTGGCTAAGTACGTTCACTTATCAAAAACAAGAATACTTCAAGATTATTTTGTTTTTGATTTGATCTACCATATAATTTATGTGTTAATATTAAGTCTTTTTTCTTATACTTGACACAGCTAACACGGTGACAAAAAACGACACGTTTAAACCTAATTGTGCAAACCTAATTTTAATCTTTGGTTTATTTGATATAGGGAATGGTTGGAAATTGCAGTTCAAGGCCATGTCGTGCCAACCAAAGGTGTTATCAAAAAGAAGGTTCACACGTGTGCAAATTCTTAAATATGTTTGATAAGATCAGTTATACTAACATCGTGTAATAATATTAATAATTTGTTTTTATTTACTATTCAAATATTCGGATATGAAAACGTAAGTAAATGCGGTGCAAAGTGTTTAAGCATTCTGAAATATTTAATTTCAAATATCATGCCTTAAAAAACCTTACTGAAGATGATACGTGTTCACTTGTTTCAGAATGTATATTTGTTAAGTCCAAACACTATTGGTTTTTCAAGCTGAACCAGGAAGAGAGTTTGTAGCTTGTTTAAACCACAATCGATTCCAATTCCTGAAACTAATTACTACTGGTATTATATGAAGAAACATGGTCGTGACCCGATTATGCTCGAACCCACGATCACTTTGTTGAGACAGCAAAATCACCATGCTAACGCTATTTCGTTAAAGCGACAGTATACCTATAAACTCGTTTCAGATAAAACACAAGACATTTCGTCGGTTAAATTAAAACACTTTTGAAAGCAAGAACATTTACAGTTAACATGAAAGTGCTAATTGAATGAATCCATAATGTCCGTCAAATTATTTCGTAATAATTATCCATTCCGTCTGGTACTTTTTATCACGCTTAATTACTTGTTGTTAATGTAATTTGTTGTAAAATTAATTGATTGATGAATTAATTTGTTCATTCATCCTCTTCCATTGATACCAATTCAACTTACTCAACTCCCGGTAGGTGGTTTCTCACATTTTCCAGTTAACCGTTGTTATAAGTTTATTAATTTGAATATTGTATTTACAGATTCTGACGATTGCTTCGCCAAAAATGTTTGGAAATATGCGGGGAAGAAGAATGTCACCCGTTCGGGCTTACCATGTGATAGATGGGACAATCATATTGGAGAATGGGACATAGATGTGCAATATATCCCAGAGTCATCGTTTACAAAGGCAGAGAATTACTGTCGTAATCCTTCACCTGATGCATATGATCTTTGGTGTTTCTTACCTGGGTATTTCGAATACGAGTATTGCGATATTCCAAGATGTTAATAAAACAACTCTAAAAATACAACCGCAGTACAGTTAATTACTTTTGTAACACAAAACTTGAAATGCTCCTGTATATTACAAGAAGTAAAATTTACTACATCAAGGACACTTAACTTAATAAAAGAGATAGTGTAAGACTTTATACTGATTTTCATGTCTTTTTGTGTCCTCGCATAAAATACTTTATAGCGGTGACAACACAATTTTTACATTGCATATTATGTTTACTTCAATTTATAATACTATTTCTTTTACATTTATATCACACATGTGTCATATAACAGTGTCGTGACGTCATTTCCGCCAGTATATTTCCTCCAATAACCGGCGTACAAAAGTGCGCATGAGACGTGACAATAACTTTCACATGTGATAAAAAATCTTACATTCCTTGTCATATAATATTATTATACAGCAACTCATGTGAAATTTTATACATACGATTTTTGTTGAAAGCGTTAATGTGTTTCTGATAACTTCTAATATTTTTATGTATCCTAGCACATAATACATTTATAAATTGTTCGAACGTAAGACATTCATATAGACTCAGTACTTATCTTGTCTTCTTTTGTCCATGTAACAAAGTAATTGTTATTTTTATTGTTATTTTTTAAAATGACTACTTTGTTAACATCTTTCAATTGCTATTGATACTTTGCAAACATATTTTAGGAGTTATCAAACTTCAAAACTAATGAGTTTCATGGTGAACTGGGCTGGTTTCATTTTTCTGTTATTTGTAAAGAATGACATGTTAAATTTCGGCTAAAATGTTGTTAGGCAATGATGTACCTATATATCATTTGTATCAAGGTGAATGTGACAATATTAACGGTGTATATTCGGTACAATATAAAGAATTATAGATGTTCAGTTGATCATTAAGAATTTACAGACTACATTTGTATATCTGAATACCAATATGAATTATTTTGAGAAAATAATAAGGGACAAGTTTATCTTAGATGGAAAAAACTGTTTTTGACACTACTAAAATTGGGAAGCCGTTGCAATTAAAATAATAGTCAATAATAATACAATAACCGATTTTAAATAACAAGAAAATCTAGATACCATTTCAAATGATATGAATATGAGAAAGACTCTAAGAATAATACGACTTAGCTCTCGTGTTCTTGGGCAATAATGAAGTAGATTTTACACTGTCGATAGAATTATTAGAAATTGTATATCGTGTTGTTAAATTAAAGTGAATCTGAATATCATTTTGTTTGATGTTTTCCAATACACAAAGATCTGAGATCAATATATCTAGGTCAATGCCTATAGCCATCTGTTAAAAAACAATAAATTATTCCTTTATAGAACATATTTTTTGTTGTTGTAAATATATAAAAATGAGGATACAAGTCTGAAATAAGATTATTTTTTGCACATTGACATTGTGTGTATTGAGATTAATAATTTTATTTTATCACTTCCAGTTTAAATCTCGGAAAGTTGAGTCAGAAAATAATGAGCAATAATGGTGTGAAATATTTATCTTTTCCATATTTTGTTCGTGTTTATCTTGGTTAGAATTGCAAATTTTCTGATTTTAGGCTTTGTTTTTTCCATTGAAGTTACTTTAATCCCTAATGTGTAGGCTAAAATGTTTCAGTTTTTACTGCTACAATTCATGAATAATATAAAAAACAAAGTTTTTTTTTTGTTTCCATTCATGTTGGAAACGACACCGCATCCCAGAGGTCCAAAATCAAGGAGAAATAACAAAGATAAAAAGTATGAACAGCATTTTTTGATAGTCATGTGAATTATTTAGTAAACATGCAGTAAATGTTAATACACCAGTAAGCAAGAAGAAAATTTATCAATATTTTATTTGCTATTATTGTGTGCGGTCTCAGTCTACTGATTTTGATTGTCAAAATGTGACTAAATAAGTAATTTATTTGCTTAAAAAAAATAGAAGAAAAAAATAAATTTCTCCCATTTTAAAGCATTAAAATATATAATGAGGTCATAATTATCTTGTATGACGCAAATGACAGATAAAATTTACAAGATATTTTTAATTACTTATTTGACAGACGATTTGTGACCCAAGAAAAAGAATTGTTTATTTATTTCTTAGTGAATCATTAACATGAGTACTTACATGTTGCTATAGGTGTTATTGTTGATACAAATTAGTTTATATACTGTATTAAATTAGCGCCTGTAAAGAATCATTGATGAATTCCCTGAGGCAATCAACTGTTTGTATGAAACAGAACTATGGAAGTCTGATAAATTTTGACTGTAAATTGTTTCAAGGAAACTGATAATGACGACTGGACTGTATGAAATGTAACAAATTCTAACCAAAGTAAATCTGTTAAATTCAATCAATGTTTGTTGTCATAATACAAATTTATATGTTTTTGACGCTCAAAATATAATTGTAGTAAGAGATTTTCCTTGCAAATGCATTTGTCTATAAACTCGCCACCGACATTATACGATTGAGCAAGTTAGGTTCACTGGAAGTGCAGTCATTCCTGTATTGCAAAACACTAGAGAAACTTACAACTAGGACTGAAGGTAATGAAGGAGGAGAGAAGAAGGCGGTTCGGTGAAATGAATTCCTTCCCTATCCGTGAACTGTCACACAGTTTTATCTATATAGAGTTTTTTGAACGCTTACAGATCTTTTTCAATAAGTGAATAATAGCAACTTGTAATTGTCGTTACTTGATCACGTTATTTGCACGCGACAGTATGTACCATGATAGATCACATGATTGTTGAGGTATCGCATATTTACAACATCGCGGCCAAACTCAATTTATAGACAATTTCAGATTATTTGACAGTTTTCAGTTTTACAGTTGAAAACTAAAATTATTTGACAAAAGGACAAAACTAGAACAACACGTTGTTATGATAAGGTGTAATACATAAAACGAAGAAATTATCATAAATTAGTTAAGAATGAACATTCAATAACCGTAACAAAATTACCTACAATGATCTGATAAAACTCGAAAGAAACTCTCAAGTGCGGAAAACCCACCTCCAAGGGTTGGAAAAACTATTCATCTTCTTGATCCGCCAAAAATAATTCAATAATTTCTTTACAAGGGTTGATAACTAGGAATTAAACATGCCTCAAAATAGAAAAATCCTACTATTTTTGTCTTTTGTTGCGTTTGAAAATTTTCGTCAGGACAGCAGACATTCAATATGACCCAAAATCCTACAGGTATACTGATCACATATTTATAAATCAGGTTGGCTCATACATTTACCTAGTCAGACAAGAGTTTTATACTGATATTCAATTTATTAAATTTCATACACGGTTCAATAGGAAGCAGTACTTTGTTCTTTATGATGTTGAATTTGTGATGATGTACAGGAGATTATTTCGTAAACAAACAATAGTTATCAAAAGACAATTTTATCACCATTTTTGTAAACATACGACCAATGAAACTAATCATATTATTTACAAGCGAAGGTTCACTTTATCATTTTAATCTAGAAAATTCAGCGATGTAAAATGTTAAAATATAAAAGAAAGTTACTGTTTTGTTAAAAATATTAGGTTTCAAAGAATTCAAAGATATACATGGTAATGATGGACTTATTGAGATTATAAAAGCGATTATAAAATGAGTGTTCAACTGACTTCGTAACAAACACTATCTGTTTAAGATAAAATTGCATAATTATGTTCTTATGTAGGTTAACTTTGTGATATTAATTTACTGATACGAAGTGTGGAATGACTTATAAAATATGAACTAATATAAGGTTATAGTATTAAGAGTTCAAGTGATACAAACCAACATTTTAGAATTTCTAAAGTTTTATTTAACTAAATATTAACTCGTAATAATGTAATAACCTTCACATGGGAATGAACCCTTTTAATACATATTATTCTAGCCATTTCTATGTCTCAAATTTAAATACACATCATCAAATGTAACTTTAAAGATTACAGACAAAACTTATTGTTAGTTGGATATAGGCTTATATAGAGCCTATTTGTCCAACCATTCCCGACTGCTACTCTATGATAATGATTAAAGTAATCACGTCTTTAATAGACACACACGTCTTTTTGATGTAATACAATTATGATGGTTTGATTATAGATATGCTAACTTAAATCTGTAACATTAACTTTTTATATCAACATATTAAATTGTAATTTTATTATCTTATATTTAAACGTTAGTAAAATTGCGTACCCCAACAAATTCCTTCACACAGAAGTCTGAAATATTTGACCTTAGGACTGTATAATTATGTTATGTACGAATGTTATTTGAGTAGTATCGTTATCGCCACTCGTTAATTACTCAGCTCAGCTCAATCTTGTATGCACCCGGGGAATTCTGATTTGAGTGCGTATATGACTTTGATTATGTTTTAACGATAAGAAGACGACATTTGCGAGGGGTCAACAAAATAGAAAATGCGCCATATTTAACAAAGAAAATGTATAGGATGAATAAACAACTAATCACACGAATATACATCAAATTGTTTTGCTGAACATTGGGCTTTAAAATCAAAGAAAACAAACGCATTTCTATAAATACACCCCACCAGGTATTCATATTATATACTACTCATAATTTGCTAAGGATCACTTTTTCTACAGTGAGTTACTTTTGTGTATTTGTAATAAATGTGAAAATTGATTAAAAAGAATTAAATATAACTAGTTTGGAATTGATTTTTGGAATTGATTTTTTTTTAAATAATAAAAAAAATGGAAGTGTTCCTTGACGTGTACCTGTTGCGAAATAAGTGTGCTGGACGAAAAATGAACATTTTGGGGATCACATTGTGGAATAAAATATCTTGCAAATTAGGAAATGGTTGGCGTATGGAGGTTATTCCGAGTTTGGTGTCCGCGGGCATTAATTACGGCCTGACATCGCCGCCGTATGCTGCTGATGAGCCTGCGGACCTTGTGATAAGGAATCTGGTCCAATTCCTCTATGCCTGCATGTCTTAGCTCCTGAACTGTTCTTGGTTGGACGTTGCGTAAATATTTTGCTTTCTACAGCGTATCCCAAGCATGCTCAGTTGGATTTAAATCCGGGGACCGCGCTGGCCAATCCATGAGGACTATAGTTGCCTCCTCAAGATATCGGTTTGTGATGTGGGCTCTGTGTGCACGGGCGTTGTCATCAATAAGAATGAAATCAGGACCGACTGCGCCAGCATACGTGCGTACATGGACGTTTAAGATTTTATTGACGTGCATTTCTGCCGTCAGTGTATCGTTTCCAATGATGTGTTGGTCAGTTTCCCCCTGAGCGCTTATTTCCGCCCACACCATGACTGAACCCACCCCAAAATGTTCGTGTTCTGCAACGCATGCAGGAGCTAACCGTTCATTTGGACTTCTCCAAACCCTAGTCCATCTGTCCTTGAAGTCCACACAAAACCTTGACTCATCAGTGAAGTGCCCCGGGGTCCACTCATTAACTGTCCATGTGACATGAATCTGCGCCCATTGCAACGGTCTTGAATATGGCGTTGTGTCGATGGAATGCGAATTGCCTGCCTCCGTGACCTCAATCCAGCATCTTGCAACCTGTTTCTTACAGTTTGTGTGCTAACACGCACACCAGTTGCATTCTTGAAGTCGAAAAGTAAGATCGTAGCGTTCAAGAACCGTTGGCGCCTGGTCTGAAGGACAATAAATCGGCTTGAGTTGTTCAACGTTCCCGACCTCCGGCGTGGCCCTGCAAGACATTTCAATAATTTGAAATCGGTTCGACATCCTGGAGACAACTCTCTGGGATACCCCAAGGACATAGGCAACGTGCCTTTGTGAACGGCCTGCCTCGAACATTCCAATACCCCTGTTCATCTCATCTTCACTAAGGCGACGACTAACCTGTCGATTTGCCATAGTTTGGTAATTTCGAACACAGTTTTACAATAAAACGAGACAAATATTGCCGTTTGTACGCATTTAAGTGAAAGCACATAGACATAAAACACCAAAATTCCATGGATATGCTTGTCCACGTGCTTATCGTGCATGACAAATCGATAACTTAAGTACACGATTATGCGGTCCCCATACAGGTGTATCGTTAGCGGAAATACGATTTTAATATCATGATAATAGGACTGAAATATGCAATGTCGAAAAGGTGATCCTTCGCAAATTTTGAGTTGTATATTATGAAAATAGTATAGTATTAAAAGACAATTATTTTCACACTAAATTTATTACGTTTGTATGGTGTTCCGTTTAGACAATCGTGATTTTATTTTGTCCTTACCTGCGATTTACGATGGTGAAATGCGATGGCAAACGATGTTGGCATATGCCTTAAAAGGTAAAGCTAACAAAAGGTATGTTATAGCCCAATTTAACGGAAAAAATGACTAATTATAACAAAATCGTACTTTTGTTACAGATTCGACAGAAAATTGTATATTTTGTAATGAATGAACCAAATGTAAAATTCTTTAGTCGAAATGTTCTGCACCTAAACTTTAATGAATATGTCAAAGAAATTTTGCAGGAAATGCAGGCTTATACATAACACTTCCTTTATGACCCAATAAGTTTTGATAATCAGAATGTCATTTCATTGATAAGAACTGTCGCATTTTGTTCCATTAATTTATTCAATTCTTCACTTTCAAAAACCAGACTTTCATTTTTGTTCAGTAAAGTAACGAGATTTTATTTTGATAAAATTACATTGAAGATTGCATTTAACATGACCCTTCGTAATAAAGGTGTGATGAAAATATTTCAGATGTGAAAATGTTCGAATGACATAGTTTCCCGATAGGCTCTAATACTTTAGATATTTATAACTATAGTTTTGATATTTAGTAAAATTCCATTGTCATCTACATGACACGTGGTGTTTAACTTGCTCAATGTTTATTTTTGATATTGTATATATCACATACGTCAGACGTCAAACAGCTATTGATATGTACCTTTATCAATGTAAATGGGTACCTTAATTTTTTCACTTCTAATACAATTTAAGCGAGCGTCGCATAGAATGTTAAGATATCGTCAATAACAAAACTGACACAAGTTTCGCCTAACATTTGGACACTTTATGTTCAACTGGCAATTTGATTATTGAACAAGCACATTGTTTTTATTAAGGTTTTTGTCGTTCATATATCAGTTCTTCCATTATCGGAGTAGAAGAGCTCTGTTGAATGTATGTATCACGTGTTGACTCGTCTGTTAAATTGACTGATGTGTCAGTGGAATTTTGGCAGTAAATAGAAGGAACATTAGCTAGCGCCTGAGTTGGTGAACACTGTTTTTGAGGGATGACATCTGAGTCAATTTGCTTCTTCTTCTCTTTTCGCCTTTCAGCTTCCTATAATACCAATAACATTAAAACGATTTGTTATCATTCTTCCGGTTATACATGTATTACATCATTTTTGTCAGTATCATTCAGTTTAATAACAAATACAATTGTTTTAAGCATTTTATCAGTGAGTTTTAAGCAATTATAGAAAACAGTTACAGCATTTATCAGACGTTATGGTCCATTTTATTGTAAACATATGCACCGGTCGATATTCAAATGAGCAAATTACGATCCAATGGAAACAACGTATAATGACCACCATTTCTAAAATTACTAAAATAAATCCTGTTCCATGGTCTCTTAAAGTAAAGATGTTGTTTCATGTCTTTGTTTAAATAACGTATATTACGTCAAGAATGGTCATTCAAGCGAATCGTTTAACCTCCAAAGGTATGAAAAATGACACATTTGATATATTATTTTAATGATATGCGAGGAATTATTTGGAATGCTGCACTTACTACATTAATTTACATTTTGTTAAGAAAGAAAAGAATCTTTTCGAATAAATGTTTATTATAATTTGCAAAAATTACATTGCATTTACATTCTTTAGAATGAAACTTTATTGAAACTCTTTAAGTAGTGATGGAAATATGAACATACATATTTAAGTATTAACAAAGCCAATTCAGGGTCATCTAAAGCCCTTTCCATAGCACTTTCCGCTTCGTTTTTCTCAAAACCCATGTTAGTAAACTTCGAAACCTCCCTTTGAATGTTTTCGTAAAACCGATCTTCCGATTCTTTATATCGTTGCCGCCTGTCATTGCGTTCTTTATATGAAATTGATTTAATTACAAATATATATTATATTTATTTAGTGATGTGTTTTAAGTAAAACTCAATATACATCTTAAGTTGCGTATAAGCTGTAAACATATATGTAAATTGATAGTGAGCAGAATTCATTACTTATACGATATTAACTTCTTACATTGAACAGATATACGATAAATATTGTACATGCAGTGAGTATGCAGCTTATAGATACATTTTCGAATATCAGTTTATGAAATCAATATAAACAACGCTGTACAAACCAGTACCTTTATCTCTTTTCTGTTTCTCATTCAGCACATAATATTCAATTAATTCAATAAAGGCATCAACTGTTTTGATACCTTGAGGCAATTTGCACATGTTCTTCATGTCTGTTAGCATACTTGTTCTGTAATCCTGGATCTGGGGGTGCTTGCGTCCTGAATCGATGTGAATATGCTTGTCTACAATACTAATAACATACCCTTGTTGAGCACATGTCATTAGATCATCTATCACTGACTCTAAACAGTGTCTCATTGATATCTTGTCAGCTATGCAATAGACATCATGATGTACACATACCGTTTTAAGCATATATGAAGTAAATGGATTAAAAAAAGCATATGCTTTGTCCGTGTATAATTTTGTTACATATTTCAAAAAAATATAGATAGTTTTGTGTTCAGGTTTCATCACGCTTTTCATGTATTCAACCTCAGCTTCGGTGACTGTTATTTTAAAATCCGATTCTTGTTGTGTTCCTATCAGGAGTAGGGATTCACGACTAAGAACAAGTTCCGCAAAAACTGGACCTGCACAGTCTTTAACATTAAAGCAGTCCTCAGGTTTAAAATATCTAATAGCTGGGGACAAATCAGTTGTTAATTGTCTGCCCTTGTATTTAAAATAAATAAGAACATAAGGTACGGTGTAATCAGCTCCCTCAAGCAAAAGGGATATTTTGTTTACGGCTGGTAAATTGATTGTACCTGTCCAATGTGTTGGTGAACCTGTTCCTGGTCCCCATCTTAATTCATTTTTCTTTGCATACTTTCTGAAACCTTCAATAAAAACATGACCAAATCGATGTTCGCCCAGGCCTGGAAAGTTTATAGGCTGAAAACACTGAAGGTGGCCACTTTTACAGAGGTCACTACATCTAGACTTAAGATCATCGTCTTTCACTTTGACTTTTACTAATCCTTCATAGAAGTTTGATTCGTCCCTATCTATGTTCAGCAAACCTGGTTTGGAGAACTCATCAATAACAGCTAAGTAATCAAATTCATTTGGTTCAAGTATTTTTGTTCCCTCAGCATAACTGCCAACTCCAATTAACTCTTTAACTTTAAACAGAGGATTAATTTCTTCAACTTCATCAAGCCACTTTTTTATATAGAAATGTATTGCACTACGAATATGCTCCGCTTCTTCAGATATAGTTTCTGATTGCACCGATGCAACAACATCGTTCATCAACTGCCCATAAACATCATCATGTTTATCTTGATCTCCATACATTTTCTAAAAGATAAGATAGTTAAAATAAACCATGCTTTGTAAGTTACATTTTTTTATATTCAAAATATGTTTTACATTAACAATTGTGCCATTTTGGATGCAAATAAGTGATTTTCTACATGTTTTACATTTTCTTCCTTTTCTGACAATATGAAACCAAAACTATTGCAGAGCAACGTTCAAAGAAGACAACACTCGATAATGTCAAGCCATATACATTCACCACACACGTAATCCAAGTTGGGCATCGAACAAAAAGCAGAATGAAAATGAAACATGACACTAAAGGTTAATCAAATAAGTGATAGTATTTATAAAAAGTGCTTTCCTATACACAAGGCAAGTGGCTCCCGGGACACGGCCAATTTTCACTTTATACTTGTTGTAGAATTCTACAAATTGATGCTACATGCAAAATATCTAACTTTTGTGCTAATAATTTTACATATAAATCAAGGGGCTTGATTAAAATCAATTTTACAGAAGTTTATACGGTAATGCTACATGCTAAATATCTTAACTCCCACGTAGGGCACAGAATAAGACTGAACAGATTTTTTTTATACAAAACTCTATGAATTGAGTGACCCCAGAGGAAGGGCTAATGATTGATACCAGTTCTATACAGGCCAGCAATTCATTGCTTCAAAGCGAACTTTTAAAGTTTAGGCATTGTAGTTTTACCAAAATAAGACTTAATACAAAAGTATTTTGACTTAGTGACCCCCGGGCTGAGGCCAATATTGACCAAAGAGGCTTTATTAATACCAGTTATGTTGTGATCCACAAAGTAGTGTTACTTGCCAATATCTATGCTATCGTTATATCGCACAATAAGTCTCAGATATGATTTCCTGATATGTCTCTAATAATCAAGTGACCCCTTGGACAGGACCAATATTGAACCAAGGGGCATGATTCTTATCAGATTTATAAAGGACAATAAGGCAATGCTGCATGCTACATATCTAAGCTGTAGGCATTGTAGTTTTACACTATGCATCTAAAATGTGTTTTCCTATGTTTGACTATATAAATCAAGTTAACCCCGAGTAGGGCAATTTTGATCTCAGGAAGAACAAACATGCACATTCTACACATTGTCTCATTATAAGTAATATATCTGCCAAAAGTTTTATTTTTTAATCGATTCAAAAGAAAAGATCGGACACAACATTTTGAAATTGATTCAAAATGACAAATTGTGACCTTGACGAAGGTTAACCCTGCTCTCTGCATATCGTCGCATTATGGTTTACACTTCTGTCAATTTTTCTTCAATTGGTTAAAAGTTACAGACCAGACACGAAACCTGATATCACACGGTCGGACGGACGACCAGCGTATAAGATTTTACGCCGATTTTTTTTTCTGGCGTATAGAAAGGAACTCTTAATTACCCTTATAAAATACTAAATGCATTAAAGAACGCGGAAGGACAAGAAAGTTATCCACAATTGTTCGTCGAAGCAAGGCTAGAACGATTCGGCTTCGATGGCTTAGACAATGTCCATTTTCTTAGCCCAAAAAAATAATACAAAGCGTTATCTTAAAGGCTGAACACTAAGAATGACATATGCTTCAAAATAGTTAGATTTTATTATCTTTTTCGTAAATAGAAAATAACGGAATGCCTAAAGGACGTACAAAACGAAAAACATTAAAAAATTGATTATAATTTCAGTAGATACTATTAAGATCTAACACCAGCTGTCGGAACACACCAAAACATCTAACTCGAGGGTAATTGTTTTTGCCGAGTTTCCATTACATCATTATCCGAAAGCTAAATTTTCCTATCTGTTACGACATCTGGTGGTTGATTCTTTTCATTACCGTTTATATTTTATTATACTTTTCAAATAAAAAATGTATATTTGACCTAAAATCCTACATATATATTGATCACAACTCCACAAAAATCAAGTTAACATTTACATAGTCAAAAACAAGTTTTTACATTGATTTTTAATTCAGAAATTTATAGGAAACAGTGATTTGCTCTCTATGATGTTGGATTTGTAATGACGAGTAGATACCTGAAACAAAATGATAATACAAAAGAAAAATTGAATGTTTGACATCACCATTTTGTTAGAGAACAAAATATCTTGAACATTACTTATCAAACTAATTACCTTAAAAATACTCGGACAAGGTAAAACTTTAAACTTTGCAAAGAAGGTAATTTTCTTTATTTCGTTATATATGTTAACCTTTAATTTTATTCAAAGATATACATTATACTTAATGCATTATCTGAGATAAAATAAATGATAATGACCTTGTAACAAACACTATCTATCTAAGATGCATTTTATTAATATAGGTGAATTATGTTGTATATAACTGATTAAATAACGGTTATTTTAGGTTTTAGTAATTAAAAGGTGATTTCTTAAGAATTCATATAATGAATACAAACATTTTAGATTAACTTTCTTTTGATTTACGTTAAAAACCTCTTAAAATGTATTAACCTTTACATATAAACAAACAAAATGTACCATGTGTATTATTCCAGTTTATTTCCATACTTCAGATTTAAATGCATTAGATCATTGCATATAACAAAAGAATAGTCGATTGTCAGTATGAAACATTATATAGATCCCCTATGTACCACAAAGTCCCATTTTGTATTCATTTATAATGAAAGTTATTTCAATTTTAACATTAAAATATACAGCTAGCTTAAGTATCGATGTGTTTACTTACAAAATTAACATTAAACCTTCTGTATCAATAGAACTTGTAATATTAAACTAACCTATAGTTAACGGATGAAAATTTACGTACCTGTACACACTTATAAGACACGGAAGTAATAAGTATTCGACTTTAGGAACTGTATAAGTTGTGTACGAATATTACTTGAAAAGTATCGTTATTGCCATTATACTTAAACCTTATATCACTACCTAAACTATATAATATAATTCCCCTATTGTTTGACTTTGACGTAGAGATAGATAAGAAAGTTTTCAAATAGCTATTGATAATTATACGATTATTGAAGTAACATCTATTGGGAAAATTAATTTGGACAACTTGTCTTTCAGCGCTCTTTTACAAAGACCAGAACGAAAAATATAAACTTGCGCGGAAATGTTTAAAAACTTTGCTTGATCTCAATTGAAAATGAGATTATCATGCTACTCTTTAGTTATCCTCTCCTGAAAGTGATTGCTTTTCTAAAACTGTGGATATCAACGCCTTATTGTAAATAAAATGGTTTAAGTGAATTTGCTTTTGCTTATGCGAAATTGATAAAAATGTCTTTTTTAAAATTATTTTCTGAATGACGGAACATAATTGTTGGATATTTTTCTTGTACTCGTAAAGTTTTTTTCTTGCAAATCTTAGGAAACCTAAATTCTTCACCTGTTTCGCCAATATGAAACACATTTTTATTTTTATGTCGTAAACAAAGAATCCTTGCTATTAGACTGTCACATAAAAAAATTTGACTGTGTCTTTCCTACATTTGTTGTATAATAAAATATTTCTTCTGTATCAACTTTGTCGATTTCATTGGTCTCAGTGTAACAAATGATGATTCTCGACAAGGTAATAAAGAGAGGGTGTATTATAAAGAAAGGGTGTATTCTTAAGAGAGGTGTATTATAAACAGAGGGTGTATTATAAAGAGAGAGTGTATTATAAAGAGAGAGTCTATTATAAAGACAGGGTGTATTATAAAGAGAGAGTCTATTATAAAGACAGGGTGTATTATAAAGAGAGTGTGTATTATAAAGAGAGGGTGTATTATAAAGAGAGGGTGTATTATAAAGAGAGGATGTATTATAAAGAGAGGGTGTATTATAAAGAGAGGGTGTATTATAAAGAGAGGGTGTATTATAAAGAGAGGGTGTATTATAAAGAGAGGGTGTATTATAAAGAGAGGGTGTATTATAAAGAGAGGGTGTATTATAAAGAGAGGGTGTATTATAAAGAGAGGGTGTATTATAAAGAGAGTGTGTATTATAAAGAGAGGTTGTATTATAAAGAGAGAGTGTATTATAAAGAGAGTGTGTATTATAAAGAGGTTGTATTATAAAGAGAGAGTGTATTATAAAGAGAGGTGTATTATAAAGAGAGTGTGTATTATAAGAGAGGTTGTATTATAAAAGAGAATGTATTATTATAAGAGAGTGTGTATTTAATAAGAGAGGGTGTATTGATAAAGAGAAGGTGTATTATAAAGAGAGGGGGTATTATATAGAGAGGTTGAATTCTAAAGCGAGAATGTATTATAAAGAGAGAGTGTATTATAAAGATAGGGTGTATTATAAAGAGAGGTTGTATTCTAAAGCGATAATGTATTATAAAGAGAGGATGTATCATAACGAGAGGGTGAATTGTAAAGTGAGGTTGAATTCTAAAGCGAGAATGTATTATAAAGAGAGGGTGTATTATAAAGACAGAGTGTATTATAAAGAGAGAATGTATTATAAAGAGAGGTTGTATTCTAAAGCGATAATGGATTATAAAGAGAGGATGTATTATAAACAGAGGGTGTATTATAGTATTATAAAGAGAGGGTGTATTATAAAGAGAGGGTGTATTATAAAGAGAGGGTGTATTATAAAGAGAGGGTGTATTATTATAGAGAGGGTGTATTATAAGTGAGTGTGTATTATAAAGAGAGGTTGTATTATATAGAGAGAGTCTATTATAAAGAGAGTGTGTATTATAAAGAGAGGGTGTATTATATAGAGAAGGTGTATTATAAAGAGAGTGTGTATTATATAGAGAGAGTCTATTATAAGAGAGTGTGTATTATAAAGAGAGGGTGTATTATAAAGAGAGGGTGTATTATAAAGTGAGTGTGTATTATAAAGAGAGGGTGTATTATTATAGAGAAGGTGTATTTAAAGTGAGTGTGTATTATAAAGAAGGTGTATTATAAAGAGGAGGTAGTGTAATTATATAGAGAAGGTGTATTATAAGAGAGGTGTATTATAAAAGGAGAGGGTTGTATTATAAAGAGAGGATGTATTATATAAGAGAGGTGTATTATAAAGAGAAGGTGTATTATAAAGAGAGGTGTAAGAGAGATATGTATTATAAAGACGAGGTGTATTATAAAGAGAGGATGTATTATAAAGAGAGGCTGTATTATAAAGAGAGGGTGTATTATAAAGAGAGGCTGTATTATAAGAGAGAGGTGTATTATATAGAGAGTGTGTATTAAAAGAGAGGTTGTATTATAAAGAGAGGATGTATTATAAAGAGAGGGTGTATTATAAAGAGAGGTTGTATTATATAGAGAGAGTCTATTATAAAGAGAGTGTGTATTATAAAGAGAGGGTGTATTATATAGAGAAGGTGTATTATAAAAGAGAGTGTGTATTATATAGAGAGAGTCTATTATAAAGAGAGTGTGTGTATTATAAACGTGAGTGTGTATTATAAAGAGAGGATGTATTATTAAGAAGAGGGTGTATTATAAAGAGAGGGTGTATTTATATAGAGAGCTGTGTATTAAAAAGAGAGGTGTATTATAAAGAGAGGATGTATTATAAAGAGAGGGTGTATTTATAAAGAGAGGTCTGTATTATATAAAGAGAGAGTCATATTATAAAGAGAGTGTGTATTATAAAGAGAGGGTGTATTATATAGAGAGGTTGTATTATAAAGAGAGGATTGTATTATAAGCAGAGGGTCGTATTATAAGAGAGTGTGTATTATATAGAGGGATGTCTATTTTATTAAAGAGAGTGATGTTATTATTAAAGTGAGTGTGTAAGTGTGTATTATAAAGAGAGGATGTATTATAAAGAGAGTGTGTATTAAAAAGAGAGGTTGTATTATAAAGAGAGTGTGTATTATAAAGAGAGGTTGTATTATATAGAGAAGGTGTATTATAAAGAGAGTGTGTATTATATAGAGAGAGTCTATTATAAAGAGAGTGTGTATTATAAAGAGAGGGTGTATTATAAAGAGAGGATGTATTATAAAGAGAGTGTGTATTAAAAAGAGAGGTTGTATTATAAAGAGAGTGTGTATTATAAAGAGAGGGTGTATTATAAAGAGAGGCTGTATTTTAAAGAAAGGCTGTATTCTAAAGCGAGGGTGTATTATATAGAGAGGTTGTATTCTAAATATTAGACAATTATACTGAGCAACATCCTTAGGGAGAAAAACACATTGGGTTTTTGCTGAGATGTGCTGCACTAGAGAGAATCAGAAATCTCTTTGTAAAATTAGAAGAATTGCAACTGATGTTGTAGTTGTAAAATATCTTTTACCGAAGTTCTCAATTATTCAGGGTTTTATATTATTTTTTATTAAAATGCACCTATTTTTTTATTTTTATAACAATAGGTTTATTCTTTACTTTAGAGTACGTTAATCCTTAACGATTTTTCGTTCTTCATACTTTGTTTCTATTTAGTAATGATTTATCGAGAACCCTTTTGTAAAGAATTTCATTACTCATTTACCGGAGTTAAAATTTGATTAGAAAAATGTATGAAATTGATATTGATATGTTATGCACTAAATCACTTGTTTTCAGATTTCATGAAGTAAACTTACACAATGAAAACTAGCATTATAATAGCATTCTCATACGTGGGCGTTCAATATTTTTGTAGACTGAGATTATTACTTTTTTGTTAGGCCAACATAATTCTTAAAATATAAATTACCGGAAACGGGAATTAAATATACACTTGTACATGGAATTTCAACCGCAGATGAATAAAAATGTTTGTATTTGACGGCGCATAAGGCAATGTCACCAGAATGTCAGCGCTCAAGGTCGCCATGGTGTTTCCTGGCGTACGCGACGTCACTGGATGTTAGTTTGGTGTCTGACGTGTTGTACAACGCTCATTACTTCTTAAAACTACGTGCGTTACATTCAATACCTCTCTGTTGTCGATAAATCTACTTATTAAATATGTATTCGTACCACTCTTGAGGAAACATTTTGATAATCTATTTATTTCAATGGAACGAATAAATTAAAAAATATAATAAAATACCACTGTGAATTTGAGAGTGTAAAGCAACATAATCTGATTATTTTTATTATTCATAGTGCCATTTAATAAAGTAATCGTATAAAAATAAAATAATAAATCTATAATCAACAAGAAATCATATAAAAATAAAAAAATTAGAATACATAAACGTTATCTTTTTATACGCATTAGGCATTCAGCGGTTTATTACCATTTTTTCGTTTTCCTGTAATACAAACAGAAATTGATGATAAAATATAAACTTTACATTTCGCATTTTAAACTCTTTTAAAGAATATTATGAACGGTGTCTACACTCAAGTCGGCAATTTCCGAACAACTCCCTATCTGTCACACGGCAATCCAATTCTATTACTTCATTAATTGACGTTAAGTGTGTTTCATTAAGATGCAACTTACTCCCTTGACATTTTGCAGCATTCGGTGTTTTCTCAAGATCCTTGCAGAATTTTTTAATTGTCCTGGTTTCCAGATTTTCTTGTGACATCATTTCTGACGTCGCTTCTATTGATGATATCACAGCAAAAATGTTGTTTCGTAAACTCCAACGTCCAAATGACGTCATATTTTCAGTTCGCCATAACGTCATATTTTCTTTCCCGGAGTTTTAAGTGTTTAGAAAGTAGTATGTTTACACGCCTCATTATAAGTTCATTACGAAAATTTGGACTGAGGTTCGGCGCGTTTCCCATGTTTATGAAAATGGCTGTAAGTCTTAAAGTTGCGTTATTATCAATTTGAATATTCATTGTCTTGAAAAGGAATGACAACACTATCAATTGATAGAATATATATTAAATAGCTTCTTGAATGATAAAATGAGACATGAATTAACGATATATTGAACACCCCTGGTATAATGATGCTTGCTATTGTTACGGGAGGTTTGCGCTTTATTTTTTAACATTTGCTGAATAACCATGTAACTGGTTGTTACTTTATAATTTGTGAGTCAATGTTCTTATGCAAAACATCTTAGTTTTTAAGTCAAATTTCGGAAAACAAAGTTTTCATAACTTCAATCATACATATTGCAAATTCTTTTGCTGAACTTTGTTTTTCTAAAGAATTCTTGACGTCTTCAATAAATATATTCCATCAGGTTATAATAATGTATAATGCAGTATTTAAAGACAATTGTTTTACACTAAGGGAACTGATATGACTACTTGAGCGATTCTTTATATGTTGCGAAGTTAGGAAACATACCAATTCTACAAATTCAATGCAGTTTTTACTATGTAAAAATAAATAACGGCTGGATGGTTAAAGATATTTTTTACAGATTTGTCTCCCTCCAATGGTGTTTACTTTAATCAAAACGTGAAGTCCAAGCCACATCAATATAATCTAGATTTCTTTCACATATCAAGACACGTTGACAGTTGATTATTTCGCAAGCATTTCATAATAAAGAGAAGTAGATGCAAAGGCCAAATATGAATCATTAAGTGAAAATATTAATTTAAATGTATGGCTTAAGAGTCGGTGCATGAGTTTGAAGAATAATAACGGAGAGGTCTTGTTTCAGATTTGGAAACTAATGTTCTAGCCCACTTGAAAAGAAAATTCACTTATTTAAAAATATCGTCTTTATTTGAATGATTAACTGAACTGTGCCACAGAAAATTGCATTTTTGTACTGAATGAAGCAAATCTTTGATTATTTTGATAATAATATCTGCACTCAGTTAATGTGTCAAAAGATTTACAGGGAAAAAACAATAGACATTCAAAACAGTTACTTTCATGCAAACCTCTTCCTATAAGTTCTACAATATAACTAAGTAAAAAGCCTTATAACAAAAACTTGATGTGACATCACATATTTCATTCAGTATATAGCTCAAGTAGTTTTGATAACCAGAATGTCTTCAAATTAATTCCTCTATTTGGTACGTTAAAAAGAATGCCTTCTTTCTAATACATCACATTATTTCCACTTATTCCTCTATTTTCTTTAAAAAATAAAGAAGAGTTGTGTATTGTTCATATACTTAGTCACAACAACCCTTTGGACAAGACCTTTAAGTAGATTAGACCTAACTTGACCCTCATCAATTAATGAACTTTACCATAACGTCAAATGACTAAATTTTGCTTGTTATTTTGCTGATTTTATTATTTAATGCTGTTTGTCGTTCTTCCATTCTTGGAGTAGCAGAGCTCTGTTGAATACCTGAATCACATGAAGATTCTTTTCTTAACTTAACTGGTATGTTAGGGGCATTTTTGCGGTATACGGCAGGGACATTAGATAGCAATGGAGTTGGTGAACGCTGTTTTTGAGGGTTGACATCTGATTCAATTTGCTCCCTCTTCTCTTTTCGCCTTTCAGCATCCTGTTTTATTGAATGAAAAATTGTCAGCATAATACAATATTAGATATGATCATATTTCCTTCAGTCATTGTATCAGAAATATTGCATTTAAAATGTTTGAGTTGTTATTCAGCATCGTACAATGTTAATTTTTCTACATGTACATGTATGTTATTATAAATTTTGTAGATTTCTAAAAGTTATAGTACATAAATCATGAACAAATGTATCTATCTTTATAAATCCATCCTGATATATATATATATATTTAATAAGTGGCAAACATTTTTTGATTATTTAACTGAATGCGTTTGAATTCGAGTTATTTTGATTATATTTCAAATTTATACTATTATGCTGGTCAAAATACTTAAACAAGTAGATTCTAAACACAATTATGTAATAAACTTTTTTTGCACTATATGGAACTTTTAAATGTAAAAATGAACGATGAATGCAGACGTATATCTAAAGCATAACGAATGTATTTCACCTAGTTTAAGTGATCTTTTGTGACTAAGCGAAAGCATGGTTGCTCTGGCTTGTGAAATTCAGTTAGTAAAAATACGAAGAAACGAAAGAAAACATATGAACGGCACTCAGGGAAATGAGCTACAATGTAGTTGTGAAACATACTGTAGATGTTGACATATAACAAAACAACACATTTTTGCATATGTGAATCAAAATCGTAGTGGAAGGACAAGACCTTTTATTGATATGTTATATCTTCAATATAGGGAGATTTTGTATTATTATTAATTTTAGTCTGCCTAGTGGTATTCGCTGTGTGTTCTAGCAGTTGTAGTACGAGGTCAGGTAGTGTTTTTATTATTTTAGCTAGTTTTTGTGCAGCTCAACAAAATTTTTATAATCAAATATGCCTTTTATCTTTAAGCTTCAAATATTTATCACTTTTGGATTTAAAACCGCTTTGTAATAGAACTTGCCAACATTTCCATATGAATTCGAGGCGTGCATTTACAATGCTTCATTTTAAAGCGTAATGAGGAACGTGAAACAAAAGGCTCACAAACTCGTCCAGACATACACTCTTACTTCCCAAACTAAGCGTCTTATTTCTGATAGAAATTTTATATTCAATAAGGTTTTAATAATAATTATGAACTTAAAGTGCAATATCAACAAAGTATAGATTATGTTTAAGATGTATTGAATCTGCCAGCGTGTCTCTGCCAGGACACAGAAATCAAGACCCTATTCTGTAGCTTTTCGTTACAACCAAAGCGTCAAACAGAAAAGGTTGTTTAAATTAACCCTATCAAGTACAATTTTGACCCTGCTTGCCTTTTTCTGGATAAGTCCATTTAATAAATTAAAAAAATATATGCAACAGCAGATATGCAAATAAGCATATGATTCAATCCGACAACAAGCTGCAGGAAACGGATAATGACCGCCTTGTTTTAATTAGTAAAATTAAATCTGGCTCTATGGGGTGTAAACGTAAAGATCAGATGGTCCTATATTCGGAGATGTTAATTCATGTCTATGTCTATGCACATGAAGTTTAGAGTGGTCATTCATACGGAGCAGTTTTATGTGCAGGAGTATGTGATTAATGACATATGATATAATGTCACGAATATTTACGTGAAATTCTTCGGAATTTTCACTTTCTTTTACTTGTAAATGTATTTAACATATTGAAATGAAAGAAAAAAAGAAAATCAAAGAAAAACAAAAAACTTTTGGAATGAAAGAAAAAATGAACATACATATTGAAGTATTTTCAAAGCCAATTCCGGGTCATCTAAAGCATTTTCCAAGGCTCTTCTGGCTTCAGCTTCCTCGAAACCCATATTTGTTAACATCGAAACTTTTCGTTGAAAATTTTCGCGATATCTCTTTCCTGATTCTTTCAATTCATTGCGTTCTTTAAGGGAAATTAGTATAATTATGCAAATTTATATTCGATGATCTTTTGTAAGTCACAACTATATAAATTTTAGTAATATTTAAGCTGTAAAGATTTTTCTTAATTAATAATGATCAAACATCATTGCTTATAAAATAGGTACTTCTTAAATTGAAAAGAATTGTCAGATATACGATTACAATGTTAATGTGCAGTCAGTATGCACTTTATGAATATTAATCATAATATCAGTTATGAATATATTTAACAAAAGTGTACAACCCTTTTTCTATTTCTTGTTTCCTATTTAGTACACAATTTCCAATATATTCAAAAAAGGCATCAACAGTTTTGATACCTTGAGGCAATTGAGACAATTTCTTCATGTCAGTTATCATATTTGTTCTGAATTCCATGATGCGGGGGTGATAGCATCCTGAATTTAGTTTAATATGTTTGTTAACAATACTTATAACATACCCCTGTTGAGCACATGTCATTAGATCTCCTATAACTGACTCAAAACAGTGTCTAATTGATACCTTCTCAGCTAAACACTTTATATCATGATGAACGCAGACCGTTTTAATCATATTTGATGTAAATGGACTAGTAGTACAATGTATATACTTCCTTCGCGTATAATGTCGTGATATATTTCAAAAATATATAGATGATTTTGTGCTCAGGTTTCATTACCCTCTTTATGTAGTCAACTTCAGCTTCAGTGACTGTTATTTTAAAATCCGATTCGTGATTTGTTCCAATCAGGAGTAGGGACTTACGACTAAGAACTAGTTCTGCAAAAGCCGGACATGCACAATCTTCACCATTAAAACAGTTCTCTGGTTGAAAATATCTAATCACTGGGGACAAATCAATTTTTATTTTCCTGTCTTTGTATCTAAAATAAATAATAACATTAGGTGTATAGAAATCAGCTCCTCCTAACAAGAGGGATATATTATTAACTGATGGTAAATTGAGACGTCCTATCAGATTTGTTGGGGAAACATTCCTGTGTTGCCATCGTAATTCTTTTTTCCTCGCATACATCATGAGAGCATCAAGAAAAACATGACCAAATCGTTGTTCATCTTGGTCAGGAAAGTTTATTGACTGCAAACATTGTAGGTGGCCACTTTTACAAAGCTGGCTGCATCTAGACTTTAGCTCATCGTCTTTAACATTGACTTTTACTAATCCCTCACGGAAGTTTGATTCATCCCTATCAATACTAAGAAAACCTGGTTTGGAGAACACATCAATAACAGCCAAGTAATCAAACTCATCAGGTGCGATTACCTTCGTTCCCTCAGCATAACTGCCCACTTCAATCAATTCTTTTACTTTAAAAAGAGGATTGATTTCTTCAACTTCATCAAGCCATTTCGTTAAATAGAAATGTACTGCAGTGTGAATATGCTCCGATTCTTCAGATATAATTTCTGATTGCACCGATTTAACAACATCGGTCATCAACTGCCCGTAAACATCGTCCTGTTTAACTTGATCTTCATACATTGTCTAAATAATAAGATGGTGAAAACAATTATTTTTAAGTTGTATCAATTTTGTATTAAAAATACGTTCAACATTTTTAATTTTGTCATATTTGATGCACAGCTATCTCTCATTTTATACAATAAGATATGAAAATAAAATGAAAGGTAGAACAAGTTTCAAATTTCAGCCTCCCTAAAAAACGCCGTTTAAGTTCCCCCTGTTTTTGTGGTAGATCTCAGAAAAGGGAAATGGAAAATTTTCACACAAAAATATATCAAAAAACGATTTTTTTTCAATTTAAAACGAATTTTTTTTAAAAATTTTTTCCCAAAATAAGCGGTTTTAAAAAACTTTTTACCCCCCTTTTAAGGCCTCAAACAGTAAAAAAATGTGCACCCTGGCTATGGTGCAGTCAACATTTGTGCAAAGTTTCAAAAGTATTGAAGCATTTTACATTGTTTCATAGCAGTTTAAACATGTTACAGGAGGCTTTTCAATGAAAACGGCCACTTTTCATTATATGCTGATGTGGCAAAAGGTTAATTAAAAAAACAAAAATGCCAAGAAAACAACATTTTTTTCACCAAAATTAGGTTAAATAGTGAAAAACAGAATCCCTTAAGAAAGCCCAATACGGCAAAGTAAGACCACATTTTAACATGGAAAATCTAGAATTTGGCTAATTCCAAGGTTTTTGATTATTTTTTTTGCCCTCACAAAGTGGAAGCATAAAGCGTTGCACTTGTCCGTCCGTCCGTCCGTATGTCTGTCCGTCCGTCTGTCCGTACGTCCCGAAATCTTGTGAACGAAACACCTCTTTAACCAGATGGCAGATTTTGCTTAAACTTACAGGGATGAACAACCTTAATGTGTAGATGGTAGTAATGGAAGGAATTTTTGCTGCGACCAAATTTAGCAGAATTATGGCCCTTTGTTGATTTTTTTACTATATACCATATAGAAATTTTGTGAATGCAACTCTTCTTAAACCGGATGGCAGATTTTGCTTAAACTGCGAGGGATGAACAACCTTAATGTGTAGATGGTAGTAAAGGAAGGAATTTTTGCTGTGACCAAATTTAATAGAATTATGGCCCTTTGTTGATTTTTTCACTATATACCATATATAAGTTGTCAGTGGGGGCATCCGTGTCCTTTGGACACAGTTCTAGTTTGTTATCTTTTTCCCTCATAAAAGCGTGTTTTAACGTCTTTTTAACCCCACCCTATTTTTGAGGCCTGAAACAGTAAAAAAATGCCCAATTCAGGCCCCTAACACCGTTTTTCATTTGAGAAATGTTGTTTAAAAATGTGATCACTTTTTCGGCACAGTCCTACATCAAAAAACGTAAAACAGGGGGTTGCCAGAAGGGGAATGTGTCCCCTTCTGTTTGGTTGGGTTTGAAGGGGGCGGGAGTCATCCTTATCTCCAAGAAATTTTGCACATGAGAGAGGCTAAAAATAACCTTAGGTCGATTATAGGGTAACGTCTTACCAATGCTGAAAAATATTTGACTCTATCTCAATCCATTTAGTAGTTGCAGCACTTTGAAATCAGTTTTGATGATTAAACAATGTAGAATAGTGACTTTTGGCAAATTTGAGACCTCCCCCGGTGCCAAGGTAACAGAAATTATAAATTGAGCATGCTATTACATAGGCTTTGCTTCAGTCAACATTTGTGCCAAGTTTCATCAGTATTGAAGAATTGTTCATAGTTTCATAGCTGTTTGAACATGTAACAGGAGGATTTTTAATGAAAACGGCCACTTTTTGCAATATGCTCATGTGGCAAAAGGTTTAAACCATGGGTCTAATTTAAATAAGGGAGGTTTAGATGTTTTTAAAGGTATCGGAGTGGATATGAACAAAGTAATTTGGGTTGGGTATTGTATGAAAACGGACAAAAAATTGTATGAAATTAAATAACATAAATTAAACTAAGCAGTGCGATTGACTATTGGTTAAGATATCTACCTCTCAACCCTTTGATCATTGGTTAAAGCCCTAAAGGGTCTTGACTACGTGCTGATTTGTTCCAGGAACGAACTCGATTGTGATTAACGTAATTTGCAAAACCTTATTTTGCTAACGAGCTTAGATTAACAAGAGCAATGTCAACATGGCCATCCCCCGCCGAATGGGTTTGAGTTATGCTCAGGACAAAAATTAATTTAGAAAAATAACAAAGGGTTATAATTCAAAAATTATGCAGTGAAGAGTTATCATTCTTGTGCACTGCACTCCTCCTCAATGAGGTCTATCCACCTATGAAGTATCAAGTTGATACCTAAAATACTTTTTGAGATAAGCTCCGGACAAAATAGAATGAAAAAGAACAAAGGCAATAACTCAAAAATTATATAACAAAGAGTTATCGTTCTTGCACACAGCATTCCTCCTCAATGAGATCTATCCACGTATGACATTTCATGTTGATATCTCAAATACTTTTTGAGTTATGCTCCACTCAGGTGAAAAATAAGTATGAAAAATTAACAAAGTGCAATAACTCAAAAATTATGAAATATAGAGTTACCAATCTTGTGCAGTGTGCACTTCATGAGTGAGATCTATGCATCTATGAAGTTTCATGTTGATATCTCAAAGGCTTTTTGAGTTATGCTCTGGACAAAAATTAATTTTGAAAAATAACAAAGGGCAATAACTCAAAACTTATGCAATGTAGAGTTATAATTCTTGTGCACTGTACTCCTCCTCAATGAGGTATATCCACCAGTGAAGTTTTAAGTTGTTATCTCAAATACTTTTTGAGACATGCTCTAGACAAAAATGTTGGACGGAAGGACGGACGGAGACTTTTTCTATACCCCCCGCCGCCTTTTCGGCGGGGGATAATAAATTTTAACCATCTATGTATTTATCTGAACAACAAGGTATGATCAAAACACCATTTAAACCCCTAAAATTAATGTCTTGTTGAACGGGGAAATTGTAAAGTAATATAATCCTTGCCAATTGTTAGGATAAGGTCGCCTAATGTGTAAAAAATGAAACAGAGATACATAACATAGTTAAAAATTACCTTTTATTCAACGTAACAAAATTACCTGCAGTGATCCAACGAAACCGGACAGAAATTAAAATAAAGACAACCTAACTCCAAGGCCTGTAAAAACTATTCATCCTCTTGGTTCGCCAAAAATAATTTAAAGTCGAATTTGTACAAAGATTGATCACTAGGAATAAAATAAGCTTCAAAATATTGAGGTCCTACTTTTTTGTCTGAAGCGTTTGCTGTTGTCGTAAAGACAGTAGAAATTCAACATGATCCAAGAGCCCTCAGGTATACTCATCATGTATCCATAAAGCACGTCGGCTAATACATTTGCCTGGTCAATCATGAGTTTAATATTGATATTCCATTAATTAAATTGCATGCACTGTTCAATAAAAAGCACAAATTTGTTCTCTTTGATGTTGGATTTGTAATGACGAACAGGTGATGCTTTTTAAACAAACAATA